AAACTAGAGTAGTTCAGAGTTGTAATTTTGTGTGATTTGTAAATTACATGATTGATCTGATTTTTTTCTATTTGTATCTTTTCTCACTAAGCTATACTGTCTTTAGTGGGGCTCCTGAGGGGGTGGACTCTGAGGAGACAGTAGGGCTGGAGCAGGAGGTTTATTTAGGAAATGTTTTGGGGATCACCATCCCTGGAAAGAATGGGAAGAAACGGAGGTGGGGCAGAGGAGTTGGCTTGAGATACCGTCTCCACCAAATTCTCAGCTGATCCCATGAAAAACTCCGAAGCTAAACAGCCCCTCAGAATTGTCCCAAATTAGAGCAGGAGGGTCAGATCTTTGCCCATCATTGGATTCAGCCTCCCAAAAGAAGGAGATGGGACTAACCTTGAATGAAGTGACTCTTGACAACTTCTGAATTACTTCCCAGGGTTGACAGCCAGGGCCCGCGTCTTCGTGGATGTGTGACTTGTGTAGTTACAAAGGAATCCGTGCTTACCAAGGCCTCACACTCCGTTTAATACTCTGCCGCCTCTGTCTTAAAATTTTTAATATTATTCTATCCAGTAGGCCCCATATTTTCATTTTACACTGGGCCCTACGAATTATGTCATTGGTCCTATGCAGACCTCTTCTTCTTGGTGACCCAGACTCTCCTTTTAGTCAATGGGTCTGGGCCCAACAAGTGGCTTAGGTCTGGAAACTGGGCAAGAGATGATGTACAATGACAATCATTCTTGTACTATTTTTATAACTTTGGCCTTCATCTATCTACTATCTGTTCTATCCGTGTCTTTACTGACATAGACTCTTAAGTACTTTTATTTAGAAAGGAATATTCTAATCACTATCATAAAATGGAAAACACAAATCACTTGTCATAAATAGAAAATGACCTTAAAAATAAATACAATGAGGGGCACCTGGGTGGCTCAGCCATTGAGCGTCTGCCTTCAGCTCAGGGTGTGATCCTGGAGACCTGGGATCGAGTCCCACGTGGGGCTCCCTGCATGGAGCCTGCTTCTCCCTCTGCCTGTGTCTCTGCCTCTCTCTCTGGGTCTCTCATGTATGTATGTATGTACGTATTTATTTATGTGTATATATATTTATTTATGTATATATTCATGTATAAACATGTATGTATATATTTAAATACATAAATATTTGTATTAATATATTGTATAAATAATATATTTATGCATTTAAATATAAATACGTAGATGTAAAATACATTTTATACATAAATATTTATTACTTAAATATGTATATACATTATGTATATACAGAAATAAATACATACATACAGAAGTACATAAATAATGAAAACAAAGTGATGTTATCAAATCCTAATTAGATTTTCCTCCCTTGCCTGCCCAAGGCTCAGAACCTGAGGTTCCCTTCCCCTCTGTTACAAAAAAGAGTAACAACTGTATGGAGGCACTAAAAACTAGGATCAAAATGAAAGCGTTCTCTTCAATGCAGTCAGAATTGAAAGGGAGTCAAAAGGGGAATAATTTTCTCATTTCTGACTAAATATTATGTAAAGCAAAAAAAAAAAAAAAAAACTTTTTCTTTTCTTGAGGTGAGTGCCTTTGGCCTCCTGCCCGTTCATCCTGATTTGCCTTGATTGTACCGACTGAGCAGTCCTTTGCTCACTGAGGGCGTGTCACCACGTTCTGTCACCACAGTCTGTCACCATGTTCTGTCTCCGTCTCCGTCTCCTCCCGCTGGCTACTGCTGTGCGCCCTCCACTACGTGGGCTTCCATCATGTCTGTTGCTCTCAGGGGGGGCCCAAGTCTCTGATGAGTCTCTCCTCCTCGTTCCTGGCCTAACACTTCCTGGGGCCCCTCTTGCTTGGGGGGGTGGAGTATCTCCGGGCTCCCCAGTGGGAGCAGCCATGGGGGGGGGGTTCCTGGCCTTACAGTGTACTCACTCCCGCGTGTGCGCTCCTGCCCTGCGGTTCTGGCATTTCTGTCTCGCCTCGTGTGGGCTGTTTCTTCTAGAAGCCAACCTAAGTGCAGGCTTGCACCACCACCCTGATTCTTGCCAGAAGATTAAATCCAAATGGTTAAAGGTCTCCCTTCTCCAACCTGATATTTTGACTTTACCACCAACTTTAGCAATCTTACCTGATGTTTAGATATTACCACCACTCGGGTCTGCCACCCCGTCGTCCCTACCCTCACCCCCTCCCCTGGCCCCCGCTGGTATGTGTCAGCGACGTCCTACCGCTCTTTTGGGGGGTATATTACTTTTTTCCTCCCTTACCAGGTCTCTGGTTGGGTTGACTGAATCCTTTTTATTGGCTTAGTTGTCAAGAGAGAAGGTGGAGGCAGATCCTAAGGCGTGCATACGTTGTCCCGGGGAGAGAGCTGTTTACTTTCAAAGAAGCGACATATTAGCCCTTATTAGGGAAGAAGGCACTTTTGTAGCCTTAGAAGGTTCAGGAGAACTAGGAGAATTGAGGATTCAAGGTTTTCAAGTGCATTGACCCAGACAGTCCCATCCCATGGGAACTCTTTCCTTTGGGCACCGTAGAGCTGCTCACGTCGAATTTTAACTTCTTTGGAGTTCTGAGGTGAATAGCAGTCCTGAGCTTGGTCCCCAGCTTTCTCTGCTCCCTGGCTTCAGAGGAGAGCCTCATTACATGCTACCTCGCAGGCCTTACACTTAGTTTTTAAATGCCAATTAATCACTTTCTTCTGTTATCTTTTTCCAAGACGTCAGTGGAGCTTAGCAGGAACAATCAAGGCTACTGTCCTCAGTTACTGTTTCACTTCGTATTTCCCAACTGATACATTGTGCCCACCAGTGCTTTCTGGTTCGCTGGCATCTCGCCCCAGTTCACTACTGGTGATGCTGTTGTTAACTGCACTGTCATGTGTGCAAGGGGATATCTGTGTCCGGGGGAGTGGGGTGGTTGTCTCACCCTGTAAGCCAAGTGGCAGAAGAACCAGCTCCAAAATCCGGCTCTAATATCTGCTTTCCTGTATCACTTCTGGTACAAGCGTCACAGGTTGGGTTCCCTGGAAAGCAGACTCTGGGATGGAGAGTTTATCCGGGGAGTGCTCTTGGGATTGTCACATGTGAAAGGAAAGGAACTCCACATGGGTTAGGATGTAATCTCAGGAAGGCCTCAGCTGACCCTGTGGGATGGGTCTCTGAAGCTGGACAACCTTTTAGATCATCCCCAAAGGGGCGAGGGGACCATTTCTTGAATGCAGGCTGCTGGGAAGGGAGTGTGACACCGGGGAGGTTTGCCAGCAGCCCTCCCAGAGCCGGGAAACAAGCCCAGTACTAGAGGGTAACCTGTGTGGCGGCTCACAGCACTCCCGGAGAGCAGGGCAGTGGGTCCTTCTTACATAACGTGGGTCAACACTGAATCTCAGAGGCCTGTTGTAGTGCCGGGCACATTACTGTTCATAATTTATTGAATTCGTATTATCATCATATTGGGCTATTGCAATCGTTATGTTTTCATCGCTTGGTGCCTATCACAGGTTAGAACTGATGCCACAAAGATGGTTGTGGCAGGGTTGCCCATTCAAAGCCTATTTCGAAAATTGACCTAATGGGGTGAGTAGGTTAAGACCGACTCAATGGGCTAAGAGCCTTACCAATGGGGTAACCAAAGTGCTATCAAGGATCACCTGATGGTGCAGCCAACGCCCTAGAAAGTTCCAACAGAGGTGATATTTGAACATTATCTTTAAAAATGTACGTTTCCTCCAGAGCCAAAAGCAGGGAAAACCTAGGCAGCTGGAAAGTAGGACTTCTGGGCACCTTATACTCAGATCCCATTGCATCAGTACTGTTTAGAACTGAATTATAGTCTCCTTTCCCCCACTTGGCTCTCTCCTTCTTCTAATGCTTTATGAACTCTTTCCTCAATGTACTCTCCAAAGTCAGCATTGCGCTGCGGAAGACATTCATCTCTAGCTCACTGTGCCCTTTCTACATTCCAGAGCGGTCATAAAACTCTAGTCCAATCTCAGTGACCCACAAGCTCCTGTTCATGCCTATCTTTGTTTCCAGTCTGTGTAGTCCTTAACCACATCAAAAATAGTACCTAAAATTTCATGACTTAATTGACATAGGCAGCTGATAATGTGAAACTAAGCACTCTTTAGAGTGATAAGTAAGTTACAGTGCATTGGTTTTATCATGTTATGCTTCTCAAAGGATTCCACTCAGGTAGGATTCTTTTTTCCAGACAGAAAAATACCTGTCACATACTTCCTGATGGATTAACACTTGAGATTGTCAAGACCTACCTTTACTATTCAGAGCTCTCTCACTCTCTGAAGCTTTCCCCGAGTTCTGAAAACAGGCCTGAGACTTCCATCTAATCTACAAAGTAGTACTGTCCCCGGACACTGGCAGATAGAGGTCTTGAAGCGTTACAAGATGAAATATGGCAACATAAAAGGCAAACCTAAAATTTGCTCATGAGGCTGCTCTCCTTTCACTCACTCATTGCTTTGCTTGAAACATTCCTGTAGCTGAACTGAATGCCCTGGGAAGTTTTGTTTTTGTAATTTTTTAAAAAATATTTTATTTATTCATGAGAGAGAGAGAGAGAGAAACACAGGCGGAGAAACAGGCTCCATGCAGGAAGCTTGATGCGGGGCTTGATTCTGGGTCTCCAGGATCACACCCTAGAGTGAAGGCGGTGCTAAACCACTGAGCCACCCAGGCTACCCTGTTTTTATAATTTTTCTAATGCTTTTTCAACTGCTAACTCATTTAGGAGTGATGAAAGAAAAAGAAAAAGACAACATTGCATTTGCTTAGAGAAAATATGGAAGTGATTCATCCCATGTATTGGTAGATTTTTGCGTAGGCCGTGGGTTTTTTTTTTTTTTTTCCAACTCTGACTTTCAGAAGTACACTAGAGATAGCAAAGTCACAGAGCACCTGTATCACATCATGTCACTCCCAGAATGGCTAAAAAGAAGGGGCGAGTCAGGTCAGTAACACTTCAATTAAACGAGCAGAACCCGTTACAACAGCAGCTCTTTATTACATGGATTCAAAAGCACAGCAGACCAATCATGTTCCCTGAAATTCAACAATCACATTCAATGAACGCCTGTTCGTGCGTTCCTCAAAACTCTAATTCTAAAGGGCTCCCTTCGAATTCCTTTTACAAAGATTTGCGCAAAGAAGAGGTTAAGCACCAGTAAGAACAACTGTTGCTAGCAGTAGTTCTGTTTCTTCGCCATCTTCCTCCTCCTCCTCAACATACATGCAATTTCTTTCCTCTGTGTACATGGCATTGTAACATGGGGGCTACACTCTGCCTATGGTACAAAGTTTATAAATACAATATACCAGTACAAAGATGAAGCCATTAAAAAGAGCTTAGTAACTACTAGGAGATCCTTAAATCTGGAGTGTTGATGGAATCTAGGAAGAGATTTAGAAACAACACACAAACTCGAACAGTAAACATTTTACTTGGGAAGAGGTGAAAGGGGAACTTCTTATGTGCCACCGAGGGCTTTCGGAGTTGCTTCAGGCTCACTTTCTTTCTGCTATTATCTTCAAATACTGCAGGGCGTTGTGAGCAGCATCACTCTGTGCATTGCCACAGGAGATCCCGGAGCCATGGCAGACGGTGATGGGGCTGGTGGAGAGTTCAGCGAGACACTGATACTGTCCATTGGCGCTCAGCTCTTCTGTAATGATATATTCAAACATGAGAGTTAATGCCAAGTGTGTAGAAAGCGGATCCTTCATGAAAACAAGTCTTTACTGCAGTCTTCCTCTATAAATCTCAGGTCTATTACTCCACTTCCTCATCACCTTTATCATTCTACAAACAAAAACCCAAACACAACTGCTCAACTACAGTAGTTCTCAAACCCAGCCCTGCTCCCTAATCATCTGAGGGAATTTAAGAGAAATGCAGGTGCCTCGGCCTCACTCCAGCTTGCTCAATTAGAAACACAACTCCCACAATCTGGGAGTAGCCAGATTCTTGCATTTTCTTCTTAAAGCTCCCACAGTGATTCTAATGTGGCCAGTTGAGCGGTGTTTGCAAATTGAACCACAACCAACTTTGCTGGAAAGGAAAAAACCATTTGCTAGAGAACCAGAGAGATTGTGTTTTTCACAACAAGGCCCAGGGTTTTTTTGTTTTTTTTCCAGGAGACCTCTAAACCAGGAAATACATGGCTCAGGGGCAACACCTCTCTGCCTTCATGTTCTTTCATTCTACATCTATGCAGATAGTCTAGTTCCATACGGTGTACGGGTTAGGGTGTTTCAAAAGCAATACCTAAACCGAGGAAACAAATGTTCTTCTCATTAACTGATGAACCACTGACACTTAGGATGGTTAGAGGACACAGGGGAAAGAGGTAGAAACAGGCGAGTTACAATTTGTTAAAAGTGGTCACGATTCAGTGTTATTTCAGCTAGAGTCAATATAATAGGAAACATCCAGATACAGTGCAAGTGTTTTTTGTTTTTTTTTTAATTTCTATTTATTTATGATAGTCACACACAGAGAGAGAGAGAGAGAGAGAGAGGCAGAGACACAGGCAGAGGGAGAAGCAGGCTCCATGCACCGGGAGCCCGATGTGGGATTCGATCCCGGGTCTCCAGGATTGCGCCCTGGGCCAAAGGCAGGTGCCAAACCGCTGCGCCACCCAGGGATCCCCAGTGCAAGTGTTTTAACGTGTGAAGAGGCTTTCTAGTTCTAGCCTTGAGGCTCTTTTTTTTTCTCTTTTAAAATTGAGCCAAAGTGGGGATCCCTGGGTGGCGCAGCTGTTTGGCGCCCGCCTTTGGCCCAGGGTGCGATCCTGGAGACCCAGGATCGAATCCCACGTCAGGCTCCCGGTGCATGGAGCCTGCTTCTCCCTCTGCCTGTGTTTCTGTCTCTCTCTCTCTCTCATTCTGTGTGACTATCATAAATAAATACATAAATAAAATTAAAAAAAATTGAGCCAAAGTTCACATGACATAATATTAACGATGTTATACCATGTAGCATTTAGTACAGTCACAATGTTGTGAAACCGCCACCTCTACCTAGTTACAAAACATTCTCATCCTTTCATTTTCCCAAGAAGAAACACAGTACAGGTCAAGAAGTTGATCCTATCTCCTCTTCTCCAAAGCCTCTGGCAACCATCAATCTACGGATTAAACTATTTTGGTTATTTCATTTAAACAGTATCATAGAGCACGGAGGAAGGCACTTGATGGGATGAGCACTGGGTGTTATACTCTATGTTGGCAAACTGAATTTAAATAAAATATTAAAAAAATAAATGGTATCGGGATCCCTGGGTGGCGCAGCGGTTTGGCGCCTGCCTTTGGCCCAGGGCGCGATCCTGGAGACCCGGGATCGAATCCCACGTCGGGCTCCCGGTGCATGGAGCCTGCTTCTCCCTCTGCCTGTGTCTCTGCCTCTCTCTCTCTCTCTGTGACTATCATAAATAAATAAAAGTTAAAAAAAAATAAATAAATGGTATCATATGATATGACCTTTTTGTGTCTTTTCACCTAGTATGTTTTTGAGGTAAATCCATGTTGTAGCATTATCAGAACTTCACTTCTTTTCACGGCTAAATATTTAAATTGCACACATATACCACAACTGACTTATTCATCCATCTGCTGATGCACATTTGGCCTGTTTCCACGTCTTGCCTATTGTGAATAGTACTACTGTGACTATGTACGTACAGGTACTTGTTTGAATAGCAGTTCACAGTTGTTTTGGGTACATACCTAGCAGTACAGTTGCTAGGTCATGTGGTAACTCATCTGAAGAGCTGTAAAACTCCTGTTTTCCACAGCAGCTGGGCCATTTTGCATTCCCACCAGTAGTGCAGAGAGAGAGGCTACAATTTCTCTATGTCTTTGCCAAGACTTGTTATCTTCTATTTTCTTCATCATAGTCATCCCAGTGGGTATGAGCTGGTACCTCACTGTGGTTTTGATCTGCATTTCCCTGATGACTAATAATACTGAGTGTCTATTTATGTGCTTGTTGGCCATTTGTATTTCTTTTCTGGGTTCTTTTGAAGGTAATTGCATAGAATTTAGCCAAACTGGCTGATTGTGGTTTTTAGACTGCTGTTCTATATTTACAAGAACTACTTAGTTCTTAAAATTGGTGAGATGCATTTCAAAGGTGTCATTAATTCCATAATCTCAAAAGCCATCTCAAATTCCCTTCTTTTCCTAGATTCAACCATCCACAGCCCTATTCATGACATGGTTTATTCATCTGTGCATTTTAAACACCCAAGAAAGTATAGATACTTAATATTTATTGAATGAATGGTCTCCCATCAGCCACCTCCTGTGACCATGTGTCTGTGCTAAATTCCCACATTCTGCATCATTCTCAGTAGGTTAAGACATTGCACCTGACCCATCATTCAATCCTAAAGCAGCAGAGAAAATCAGAAGTTCTCTAAGCCCCTAAACGCCAATGCTGGCAGCTCCTTCAAGCTGGGTCCCCACAGCCCACTGAGGATGGAACAAGGGATATCAAATTCTTCACAAATTACACTGATGTTAAATCAAGGCACCAACTATGCACGTGCATGTGCGTGCGCGCACAGACACACACACACACCAGCTTTATAAAGCAAATTAAAATCCAAAGTGACTTGCTTTCTAATCTAGCCACATTGGTCTATTTACATGATTAAGGGTTAGAGGAAATATAGAAGAGGATAGCTGGGACGGAATACAGCTATAAGTACTTGTCCCCACTGACGTCCTTGAATTAGCGAACGGTGACAAAGTGGAGAGAAGGGGTCTGACTACCACAAACTTAGTGCTTGTTCTAGAAATGTGGGTGCCTTTTTATTTGTCAAGCTCTCCATCAGGGCTAGTCTAATAGACACTGTATCTGCAGGGACTCTTCCCCCGACCTGACTCTACCTGACTCTGTTTCTAAACCTCTCTGTGCTTTACTTTCTTTCCTTACATGTAAGGATAATAGACCTACTTCACAGGCTTAGTCTGAGAATTCAGTAAGTTGAAATATGTAGTATCCTTAAAACAGGGCCTATAGTAAAAACTATAGGTATTAGCTACTGTTTTTATTATAACTGCATAGATGTTAGCTATTATTATCTATAAGAATGGGATATATCAGTGCTAAATATTACCACTCTGCTAATTTTATATAAATATATATTCTATATAGACATTATATATACATGTATGTGTGAGGTGTATTATATATACATCATACATATACATATATGACATATATATATATGCATGCCATTTCAGTATCTCTGGTCAACTAAATCAACTGTAATACAGGCTTTGTTTCTGAAATACATTTTAAAAAGAAACTAGTTTTGAGGTAAGTCAGAGGAAAAAAAAATCATACCTATATCCAAATATGTTATATTAAAACCTTGTTCCTTGGCGATGTCACTAAGCAGCTGGATGTAATCTGTATTTGGAATACTGAGGAGGCTCCTTTTCAGTAAGTTGATCTTTTCACCAGGAGAATTCCGCAAGGAATGCCAAGTACATCCTAAAGAATGTCCTACTACATTTGTCTGAAAAACAGAGATAAAGATTAAGACTCTTAACTCAGACTGAGTTCTAATGCTATAATTTAAAGTATTTATTAGGCACTCACATTTAATACTCCATAAAGCATGTTTATTTTTTAAAAAGATTTTATTTATTTGACAGAGAGCAAGAGAGCAGAAGCAGGGAAAGGGAGAAGCAGGCTCCCCACTGAAAAGGGAGCCCAATGCAGGGCTCCATCCCAGGACCTTGGGATCATGACCTGAGCTGAAGGCACACACTTAACCAACTGAGCCACCCAGGTGCCCCTAAAGAGCATGTTTAAACGGATACCATTTGGTTAACTTTCCCATTTTAAATGAGATAACACTAATAAGCACACATTTAACAAACACCACGACGTCAGAGAATAAAGATGCACATGTGATAATATACCAGAACTATTTAAAAATACTTTTGAATGGGACAAAGGTCTCTCAGCCAAATTTTCTGATGGTCACAGTAAGATGTAGAAGATATTTAAGAGCAGTAGAAACCAACCTGCAAATAACTGAATCTGCCTAATGGAGCAATTTACAAGTTAAAATACAAAACGATTTTGTCTTTATGATTTCTTATATTAAATATCAACCAATCACTCTGACAGCTGTGAAGCAGAAACAAACTGCAGAAAAGGTGCAACACGTACAAGTTAGGCTTGAGAAGAACAAGTCATTCAAATGAATGGTGGGAGGTCATAAAGTTCTCATCAGACTTTGCCCACAACCCAATTGAGCTTACTGTTTTCATTTTCTTTCTCCTTTTCCTCTTTTCTTTATTCTCCCCTATATCCTTCCCTTCCCACCTGTTCTTAGAATACTTTACATTTCCACATTATTTTTCTCAAATCGCCTTCATGTTATGCCAAAACCCCACAAAAACAAACAAACCCCACTCCTGTCCTCTGAAGTAGAGCAACCCATTCGCAGTTTTATTTATTAATGAGCCTGGCAGCGGTTAAGGGATTTTCAAAAAAGATCACAAGGATGGCCGGTATATAGAATTAATAACCTGCAAAATTTGCTAAATAGAATTTTGTATTCCTTGGTTGGAACTTTAAAAATTTTTGGTTTTTAAAAACTGTAATGCATTGATAGAGTAACTGCAATAAGAACAAATATATAATGAATAGTCTCTTTTCCTTACCACTCCTTCCCAAGAAGACTTGTTTTACCCCCCAAAAATACCATTAAAACATTTCTTCAATATCCTTCTATAAGTCTAAATTCAAGCACACACAATCTTTTTATTTTTTTACTTTTCCTTCCTTCCTTCTTTCTTCCTACCCGCCCTCTTTTTTTTACCTCCACACAGAAACATGGGGCTTGAACTCAGAACTCTGAGATCAAGTCACACTCTCTACTGATGGAGTCAGCCAGGCGCCACCATAATCTTCTTAAACAAAAATGATAGCTTACTCTTCTAGATCTTGCTTATTTTTCTCGTATCAATGCACATATAGGCACTATATTTATCTTACCAGTTTTCAATTATGGCTTTTGGGTTATTTCTGATTTCTCGCTTTTACTAATAATGTTACAATAAAACTCTTGCACTCAGATGACTTTATTTGTAGAATAATTTCTGGATGAACTGAGTCAAATAACATGTATACTTTTAATTTTGATAAATACTTTCAGACTGATTTTTAAACCAATTTAAACTACCATCAACAGTCTTGGAGGGTGCTTGTTTTCTGATATTCTCACCAACAGCAGGTACTATCAAGCTTTGTAGGTTTCATCAGTCTAAAAGGTGAAACTAGTCTCATTTCCATGAATTAAGCCGATCATTTTTTTTTAACCCTCTGTACCACTTCTGTTTTATTGGTGTGTAAGAACGTTTTATGTGGTACTGTGAACAGTCCATTTACAGACCGTTAAAAAATAGTCCATTTGCAGACCTTCTTTGTTTTTATTCTTGGTCTTATTTATAGATTTTCTTTTATTGTGTAATAGGTTTTATATAGTCAAATTTAACTGTCTTTTATTAGTTTACATCTTCTAGGTTTTAAACTATGCTGAAAAGATTTTCCCTGTTTAAAAAGGAAAGCTCTTCCATGGTTTCTCATACTTGGTTTCAATTCTTATGTTCAAATTTGTGACCCTATCTGAAACTTATTTTGGTTTTTAAATTTTTTTTAAAGATTTTATTAATTTATTCATCAGAGACACAGAGAAAATGCAGAGACATAGGCAAAGGGAGAAGCAGGCTCCTCACAGAAAGCCTGATGTGGGACTCGATCTTGGAACTCCGGATCATGGAGTTCAGGCAACTGCCTGAACCTAAGGCAGATGCTCAACCACTGAGCTACTCAGGCGTCCCTGAAATTTATTTTGATATAAGGAATAAGGGAGTAATCTAAATACGTCACACACACACATTTCACTCCCCCAGAAATGTGGTTGTAAGTTGTTTCTACATCATTTACTGAATAATCCATCCTTTTGCCCTTTGAAGTCTCACTATTGTTATATACTATGCTCCTATGTGGATTATTGTCTATACCGATCTTCTGTCTACCCCTGTACCAGTACATGTGTTAATACTGTCGATTTATAGTATGTTTCATTCTCTGGTAGTTATAATCCTGCCTCCTGCCCTCTTTTCAGTTTTCTTGGTTCTTCTTGAGAATTTATTTTTCTGGATAAACTTAGTAAAACTGTATTGAGGATCCAAAATGAATTCTGGTAGATTTTGAGTGAAACTACATTACCTTTTTATATTTCACAATATTGAGTCTTCCTACTGAAAATAGATAGCTTTACATTTATTCAATTTCTGTTAAATCCCTCAGTAGAGTTTTAAAGTTTTTTTCACATGGGTCTTGCACATTTTAAGTTTATTCCCCAACATATTATCTCTTTTCTATTATTGAAAACGAAGTCTTTTTCATTCCACCTCTTAATATTTGTAAACAGAAAAATTGATTTTTTTCTAGTATACTTTTTTAGAGCAGATTTCTATTTTGCTATGAAATGATCAATGTTACCAAGCTTCATAAATTTTGTTAATACAACACATACCACAAAAAGTCAGAGGACAGAATATAAAACAAACAATCCTGAGCCTCATTCCATCCCTACCTTCAGTCCTCTTTCCAGAAAGCAATTTTTAACTTTCTTCTTTAATTTTTCTAGTGGTTACCTTCATAATTCTAAATATGAAAAGCTACTGATTTTATATATTAATTTTATGATCAGTTACCTTGATGAATTCTCTTCTAGTAGTTTTTCTTTTACAGGGCTTTACAGGGATACAATCTTAGTTATTTGTAGTTAATGATCATTTATATCTCTTCTGTTTAAATTTTCAACCTGTTATTGTTTTTTTCCTAATTATATTAATTGGTACTTCTAAAACAAGATTTTAAAAATGGCATCAGTGGATATCCTTGTCTTTTCCCTGAAATTAATGGGAAGGGATATAGTATGTAAACATGTAACTATGATTCTGATCTTTTTTGCAGTGTATGTCTTGAGTCACAATAAGGATATTTTATTTTTTTAATTCTTTACTGAAACTCAATTTAGTTAACATATACTGTATTATCAGTTTCAGGGACAGAATTTAATGATTCATCAATTGCATATAACACCCAGCGCTCATCTTCCTTAATGCCCATCACCCAGTTACCCCATCCCTTCACCTATCTCCCCTCCAGCAACCCACAGCTTCCTAGAATTAAGCATCTCTTACGGCTTGCTTCCCTATTTTCATCTGATTTTACTTTTCCTTCCCTTCCCCTATGTTCACCTGTTCTGTTTCTCAAAACAATAGTTATTTAAAAAGTGTTTACCAATAATTGCCAAATATCTTTTTGGTATCCATTGGCTATTTTCTTTCACCCATTAATGTGATTAATTATGGTTACTGATTTACAGAACCTATCCTTGTATTCCCAATTTGTTATTCAAATAAGCCCATACTATTCTTTTACTATTCTACCGGATATTTTATTAAGGTGTTTCACTATAAGGGAGATTAATCCATAATTTTTTCCATTGGGATTTGCTATTGTTTGGTTTTAGGGTTAGTGTTATATTGGTTTTGAAAAATAAATTTAGAAGCTTCCCCTATGTTTGATACTGCCTGGAAGAGTTTAAATAGCATTGGAAATTATCTCTCCCTTGAAGATTTAAAGGAATTCACCTATAAAACCACTTATAAATCTATCTGTGCTTTGTGATTTTGGTGTCATCTCTGATCCAATTTTGTAAGAAGTAAATGCACTGTTTTATCATTTTCTATTAAGGTAAAATCAAAATTGTATTACTTTGTGTACAGTCTTTGATTTTTTTTTCCTACAGAATGAGCCCTTATTATCATAAACTAGGTCACTGCTATAGTCATTTTTCATTCACCACCTAGTAAATGCTCAGATAACATACCATGAGACATACCTAACTATGAATATCATAATCTCAAATAATAATGTCAGGTGTAGCTCAGTCTCATAAGCTCTGTTTGCCTAGCTGCCTACTCAGTACCTTTAGTTAACATATTCTATATCAGATCCAATATATCCTACATTTAACTCCTTATCTTTTTTCCCTCAATCCCACTCATCTTCTGTGTTTCCCATATTAGCTTAGTACAGGCCACCATCATTTCTTATCCATTTTCTGTAACAACATTCTACAGGTGTCTGACTCTAAGACTCATTTACTCACTACAGTGCAGCCAATGATTCCCCTTCTAATCCTGTCCTTCGTTGACTAAAATCCTTCTTTGTTTGTATTAACAACCAAATGACTCTGCTCTACCCTCAGGATAAAGTTCAATCTCTTGACTACAGAAGTCCTTTCCAGATTGAATCCCTTTGTCCTTCTGGCCTCATTGTTTGAGAAACCCTTCTCCAACCCTATGCTCTAGCCACACCAAACTATTTCGGGTTCCCAGATGGCATATACTATTTTACTTTTGGTCTTTATAGGTGCTCTTTTTTCTTTGAAATTCTTGTCCTCTGCTCTCATCCTGCAGGTCTTGGCTTAGATATTACCCCCTCCAAGAAGTCTTCCTTAAACTGCCAGTCTTGGTTGGACCTTCTTCTATGTTCCCAAGCCCTCTCTGTTAGGACCAGCCTATTGGGTTCTTTTCTCTTTCAGGAGGCTACAGACTCCCTCATGGCAGACACTGTCTTATTCAGTGTGCACAGAACCTGGCACAAAGTTTGGCAGACAGTATGAGCTCACTAAATGTTTAATGAGTGGATAAATGAATGAAGGCATTGTCAATTTGAAGGCAAAAATGGCACTACTGGCCTGTCATCTTTAGATCACACGATGTGATTCTGAATTTGACTGTGTCTCCCAAGCCCTCTTACCTGGTCACCCTTGTGACAGCTAAAATTAGGTTGTGTACATCTGGACAGTGAAGGGACTTTTTAAAAATTGCAACTCTACAGTGTCTATACAACAAGGAATCCAAGGACGTTTCCTACAGCATTGACATCATAGGTGTTTTGATCATTACTCACTAAAGAAATGTGGTTCTCTGGAGAAATATTACTGAATTTGGCAAGAAATTTCTCAGCAGCGTTCCTCTTGGCCTGTTTTTTTGATGCCCCCTTTCCTAAATTAAAAAAAAAAAAGAAAAAGAAATGGTAGGTTTAGAAAAGTAATTAGTGTCCACAGAGAGTAATCAGATATATAAGGTATTATTTCTGCTCAGAGAATAATTTCATGATCTTTATATGCTCATCTTTGCTTATTGTGCTTCAAACAATGATCTTTTAAAATATTTATGTATTTTAGACAGAATACATACACCAGTGTGGGGGAAGAAGGGCAGAGAGAGAGAGAGTCCCAAGGAGACTCTAGGCTGAGTGCAGAGCCCAATGTAGGGCTCACAACCCTGAAACCACGAACTGAGCTGACACCAAGAGTCAGGTGCTTAACCAATTGTGCCACTCAGGTGCCCCAATACAACTATTAATTCTTACATTTATGAAGGCACTTTTTTTGGACAGTTTATCTTTAATAGTTATACTTTCTGTTTTTTAACAGGCATATTTCCTTATGCCTAGCTATAATGAATCATATTTGGTTTAATTCTGACTAAGTATTCAAATCTATTAAGGTACATTTGAATCACAGCTCTTTCTTTCTTGATGTCTACTTCTTGCTTAAAATCTTCTATAAACTGACAACTATGTGGAATTCTTCTTTAACATGAGTAAGAAGGCATAGGAGATCTGTAATTAAAAGACAAAGTATTATCTACTTCCATGCTTTTTGTTTTACAGATTTAAAAACTGAGGCCTAGAGAGATTAAGTAATTTGCCTACCTTTGCAAACCAAGGGCTGCATCAAGAATGGAAGCTATGTGGGGTGCCTGGGTGTCTCAGTCGGTTAAGCATCTGCCTTCAGTTCAGGTCAAGATCCCAGCGTGCTGGGATGGAGCCCTACATCAGGCTCCCTGCTCAGAGGGGGGTCTGCTTCTCCCTCTCCTTCTGCCCCCCCCATTCATACTCTTCTATCTCAAATAAATAAATAAAATATTTAAAAAAAATAGAAGTTGGGATTCCCTATGGTCCAGTGCTTTCTATATTGACCTGCGCTGCCTCTCAAGGGGCTTGCTGATTACTTGCTTGATTACCTGAAACAGCCAATTCCATTTGGTGCCATTTTAAGAATGCTAGAAACACGCTAGAGAAGCTACAATAGGAACCCTTACTAGTACTCTATTAAGTGACTTTTTTCTCATAGTTTCTAGTCCTTACAACATGGAAGTTGCTATCATTATAAAGGATAATTCCTACTTTATTTTTATCTCACACTATTTTTTGCCACCTACCCTCTTATTAATCATCTTGTTTTCAAATGTGATCTTCTAGTCTTCCAATCTTCTAGAACAGCTGTTGAAACTTCCAAGATATTTGCTATTGCTTTTTTCTAAAATAATTTTTAAGCCACTAACACATCAATGCAGACTATGTAAAGTCAATTATTTACTTTGTTCTGTTACCAAGCTTTTCCATGATTTTTAAAACTATCAAATTAAGCATAAGTATTCTTAAGCCAAATATTTTTTTAAGCCAAATATTTATACTTAAATTCTACTGCAGAAAGAGACAGTAGAATAAGAGTGCATCAAATTTTTCCCCACAGAAATATTTGAAAGGAAACCACAACAGAAATTTCTATGGTCATTTATCATCTGAAAATATTTCAAACGCCTTCAGTTGTATAAGTAAAAAGAATAACTACCAGTTTCCATAAATGACTCTAGCCTGCAAATTGTGGTATATTCTCTCTTATGAGCAGGTCCTCCCTCTTGGGAAAGGGTATATTCAGGAAGTCTCCAGCCATGATGAATAGCCAACTCCTAGAAAATGGAGATGAGGCTTCAGTAGTAATTTTTACTATGCAACAGCTTCATCACATAAATGATAGTCTTTCATGATTTCTATCCTATTTCTATTTCTATGTTTGAAAAGAATAATGATATTCTGCAATAGAAAAATGGGAGAAGACCCTGTATTTACCACAAATATTCCTGCATTTTGTATCTTGCAAGCCCACAATACCGAAACTGAAGCAGTTTACTGCTAGGATGGGAATGGTGTTCTTCCATTAAGCCACAGCAAGCAAATATCAAAGAGCTCAAAGAGAAAGATGAGCTACTATCGCCCTTTTGGGGAACATCAACAGGTCTCACTGTCATCAGTTCCTAATGCCTCTCCTCCTAGCTACAGACTTCCTGCCCACAGCTGGCTAACTACTGCACTGGAACACGAGAAGATGAGCAAAGGCAGCAAATATACAGACTTGGACAATCAGGAAAGATCAGGGGAAGAAAACTATAGAAAAGACAGCAAGAAAGGGACCAAAGGCCTGGCTGGCTAACAGGGAGGAGAGTTGTCCAACAGAGCACATGGATAATCTGCAAGAAAGATATTTGGCATGCAGAACTTCAAAGCTGATTTTTTTTTTTTTGGTAGAATAAGCAAATAGATGACTTCCCCCTTTTTTGAGGTAGGTTACCCAATTTGGGTTTTTATTTTTTTTTATTTTTATTTTTTTATAATAAATTTATTTTTTATTGGTGTTCAATTTGCCAACTTACAGAATAACACCCAGTGCTCATCCCGTCAAGTGCCGGCACTGAGGGGGGCCAATTTGGGTTTTTAATAAAATCTTCTGTCTTAACAGAAGTGGAAAGAGGTTTGTCACAAGAGTGGCAAGAAATATTCTTAAAGTATAAAGCACTCTACCCATGTGCACTGGGGTCCTGTTGATCTCAAATGAGAATTCCACAAACCAAAGGCAGATACTGTATATGGAAGAAAAACCAAAACATAAACAAACAGGAGAATAATTTCAAGTTAGTGCTGCAATATCCAATGATCATAACTGGGAAAACAGAATATTATACATCTTATCTTTAAACTATCTATTCCTTGTTTCAGCCCTTGTGATATTATTACTTTATGACATCTTTCTTCAATAGACAAAATGTTACAGAAGGAAAAACCATGTGACTTACCTGTAATGAACCAATAGGATTAAGCTGGTTCTTTGGTTGCTTAGAAGGGTCAGGCATTAAGGGGTCAGGAACTGCAAAGCTGAACATTTTTTTAAAGTGTTATAAAACAAAATAATTTTCTCCAAACTATTAAATAAATGAATGCATTTCTTATCTAATCTTCTATGCCTTTGCTCTTCTCCACGGAATGCCTTTCTCTCCCACCTCTCCTACGGAAATATGATCTATCCATTATCCAAGATGTGTCTCAAATGCCGCCTTCTCTAAGAAACCTGTTACTTGGAACATAATTTCCCCCTCCTCTGAACCATTATTTACATTTAGGTTGGCCCTTTCCTAGGCAAATTATTTTACCATTAAGTTATATGCTCTTACAAATACATGTAATTTGTCCATCCCTCACATCTGTCCTGTGTTCAGACTGTAAAATCCTTGATGGCAAAGCCTATGTATTACTTACCTTCATAAGCTTTATAGTACTGTGCATATAATGGGTGCTCAATAAAAAATGTATTTAAATAAAGCATACTACTGTTACAACTACACAAAAAGGGAAGACTAACAATTAGTCAGGAAATTTAGTCTGGTAATGTGAATGATACAGGCCACAAAGTTGTTTTTTCACTCAGACAATTATGGAAGAAAAATCTATTTGACCTATCATCTGTTCCATGCTGGAAAAATCCTCCTAAGATTTATATGTATCCTGCATAAAATAGATGGCCTGCATGAACCTGGTTCCAGGATGTGGGGATTATGATCAGGGAGAAAGAGAGCAAGCTCTTTGAACTAGTTTGAAATTACTAATTAGTTGGGCGATGAGGGTCTAACCCGGAGTAAAGCTACGTTCAAGGTTACTTGAACCTAGGCGACAGAAGGGTCATTTCTTCCATGACAAAATAGGTTCAGTTATTGCCACTTCTTCAGGTTGCTTTTCCACCTGCTAGAATTTCAAGCTTTACATAGGCTGATGAGATATGAATATTCACTTACAATGTTGCACGCCGAAGCTACCCAAATAATTGTGATGGAGAAGTGAGAAAGTCTCTGTATTAAATCAGGCCATTTTAGGCCTGATTACAGCTTAGTAATTCCCATCTTATCTGTCAAGAAGCACAAATATATAGTAAAGTTTGTTAGCCTTTTTTGCTGACAAAGCGAAGTGCCCATGTGCAGAAAGGACACTCCGTACACTCATTTCTACAAATCTACTCAACACTTTGGGTTGAACTTTGGGCTGCACAAATAGCATGGTCATCACCAGCGAGGGGAGGAGCCACTATCTGTCATGCCATTTGGCGCGTCTACAAAGCCAGCATAAATCAACTATTAATGTATGACCTCAGAGAATCAAGCATCACTTTGTGAGATCCAAAGCTTGTCAACGCTTCATTCTAAACTACTCAAACGGTTTGGAAGGGCTTAGAGAGGGAAGAAGCAATGCAGGAGAACCTAAGCATATGCCAGATGAAAAGTTTTGAAGCTGGAGAAAAACCTGTCCTAAGTTCTCATGGGGCTCTGCTGTCAGCTATGAGCAGGTAAACCAGACTGTACTCCAGAATAACTGAGTGCATGGAAAGAGAAGAATTTAAACGCTCAGCATGCTCCAGAGTGTGTCCATTAGAAAGCAAAGGACTCCGGATACGTGAGCTGCTCCAGGACCAATACTCTCCAAAAGCACCTAAAGCGACAACAAATTTAATTTGGAAAAATTCCACCACTCCACGTAACATCTTCTTGTAGTTGGTGTACATTCTATAACAAAAGGAAATCTCTCTGTCTCCTTCCAAATTAGAATTTTCCAAAGGGTATTTTCCATTTATCTTTTTCCACTTCATAACTTATTTTATGTGGTGTAGAAGTTATTACAATCTTCACACAGTAGAATATTTGCCGGAAAAACTGGGATTTTCTATTGGTGCATCCCACTGAGGCGGGGAAATGCCTAGTTCGTGAGAGCTTTCATTTAACAGTTAATTGCTGGACTGAATTTCTTAAGGATAAAGCGGTCTTTAATGGAGGACAGTTTTTTCACAAGGAAACAAGAATTTTGGAGCTAGATACTAGCAACTGTTCACTTTGTTGCTTTTGTGAGCACGTTCAAACTTTTAATCTTACCTCAGCCATGATATTTTTGAGCTGCAGAATACAAAGAAATTTAGCTCACCAAATACTTGCATTGGCTTTCAAAATGTTTATGGCAGCCTCTGCAGCTCTATGTTTCGCCAGCTTCTTACTTGTACCTTCACCTGAATTAAGGTTAAGAAAAAAATGTCTTTACACGCTGTGAAATTGTGAGGCTTGCATAGATGTTTGCATAATACAAAACAAAAGCACTACAGTTTATATATATATACACACACACACACACACACACACACACACACACAAAGGTAATACAAATATATACTACGTTCTGTAACAAAATATTCACCACATAAAATTCATAGTTTTATGTATAACTCCATGTGTACCTACATTAAAAATCCTTGCTTACGTTATATATGTTTATTATATAAAATGGTAATAAAGTAGACCATGTCACACTTTCTGAAAAAAAAATGCAACTTAGTATTTTACTCTTCCTTATTCCTAGAGGAAGAGGAAATTCCTCTGTAGCAAGAAGTTCCTTTAAGGGAGCCACTTATACCAACACTAACAGCAAACTGCACAGTTTTATTCTAATAGTTCATCCTATGCTGCACTAAACCCCTGTTTGGCTAAGCACTCATGGCCACACATTGGCTACAGTGGGAGAAGGTTTATATGGGGAACGTGAGAGATTGTTATGTGTCTTCCATACAATCTGTATCCCTTACCTAAGTAGCTAACAGGGTGGTAGGGGATAGGCCCGACTAACCACTGAGACTGAAGCCTAATTTCAGTAAGCCATCACACCTGTTAAATGGTAACTCCAATCTTTTTCCTTTTGAGTTCAAGCTAGGTGTTGAGAACCCTTCAAAAGTGGAACCAGAGTGCTGATGTTCATTTCTCTGGTGTGGAGGATAGAAAGAGGATACGGAATAAATTTCAACTGTGACCCCCACCCCCAAATGTCAGAAGACATACAAATCATCCGCCTTTATCCACTAACCTAGGTATTAGGGATACAGGAGAGTATGAAACAGAATCCCTGCCCTTAAAGAGCACACAGCCTAGTGCGGGATTTTGTCTGGAAAGATCCATCTGAAATATAGTCATGTGTTACAACAAGCCTAAGTGCAGGCTATAGGGGAGGCACACAAAAGGGGTCGCTCCCCTCCTCTTGGTAAGGATTGGGAAAGGTTTCACGAGGGAAGAGATAACTGAAGGAAGACATAAAAGATTAGTAAAAGCCAGTAAGGCGGGTTAGGAAGAACATTCCAGGCAGAGAAAATCAGCACCTGTTAGGGCTTAGAGGCAACACAGAGCATGGTATTCTCCAGAGCCCCAAGCAGCTGGGTAGGTAGGAGTTTAAGGATACGAGCTCTGAGATAAAAGGCTACAGGGTTGGGAGGGTAGGAAGAGAGGTCAAAGAACCGCCTTCTAAACCCGTGCTTCTCAAATTTTAATGTGTATAGGAATTGCCTGAGAATTTTGTTAAAATGCATACTCTGATCCCACAGGTCTGGCATGGGGCCGGATATTCTAGAGCAGTTGCATCAAGTGCCCAGGTGATATTAATGCTGATCACATTTTGAGAGGCAAGCCTGTCAAGTCATATTAAGACGCCTGTATTTATGCAGAGGGTGACAGGCAAACCACCGGATGGATTTAAAGAGCAAGAAACACATGAGCAGATTTGACTGCCAGCATCCAAAGGGGAATGGCCAGCCCAAGCCTAGAAGCGGAGAGAGCAGCAGCAAAGTGGCAGCTATGGTTTCAGTGTGAGACACCGATGGCCCAGACAACAGCAAGGGGAAGACAAGGGAAGCTGCTTAAGAAGTAAGACTTGGTGGGCGAGTGGGCAAGGGGCAGAGGGAGAGGAAGGGGTCACCAAAATGAAAGCCAGCATTCTACTGTGGGCAAATGGGTGACGGTGGTACCTTTAGGGAGCTAGGAAATGCAGGGGCAACAGACTTGAGGGAAGAGAGATGGAGTCAGTCTGGGACAATGAGAGACCGAGGTGTCTTTGGATCATCCAAGTGAAGATGCCCGGCAAGCACAGGTTGACAGACTGTTCTGGAACCAGGCCTGGGCTGAAGACAGATTTCAGGATTAGCAGCCTTTAGATGGCATTTGAAGCTGTGGAGGTACATAAACTTGCTAGGAAGACAGGACAGCGTGAGGGGACAAGGGGATCCAAGCAGAATAGGTGGCTGCCACGGACTGTTAATTCCTGGTCTAAAACACCTTGAAGGAAAAAAGACTATTTCTTTTCTTAAATTTTCACTGAATATTTAAAAATAGACCTGTTCAATGAGTAATGCAATGATTCTATGGTTCATTATGAGGAAACTTCCAGCTAGCACCTACAATCCACCTGCTTCATATAGATTGAAAAAGCCTCAAAACGTCCTTAAAGAGATTTCAAAGAACATAGTGGACTCCTGATTTTCAGGGACCTAAACAAATGTTGCCTTTAGATTACCAGATGGGGGATCCCTGGGTGGCGCAGCGGTTTGGCGCCTGCCTTTGGCCCAGGGCGCGATCCTGGAGACCCGGGATCGAATCCCACGTCGGGCTCCCAGTGCATGGAGCCTGCTTCTCCCTCTGCCTATGTCTCTGCCTCTCTCTCTCTGTGTGTGACTATCATAAATAAATAAAAAAAATTTTAAAAAATTTAGATTACCAGATGGTGCAACTCTAGCCTTCTTGTCGAATTGTTTTCTTGGCATTCTTCCAAATTAAATTTAGTTATTCATTATTTTCCGTGTTTGCAATTAAATAGATACATAAGGCATAAAATGCCTACATTTGCAAATGGCCAACTTCAGTTATCATTTGTTCAAGCTCACAGACCACAATATGGGGAGTCTGAACTCTGAAACTTCATTGCTATGTGACTTTGGGTATGTTAACTGATAATCTCTCTGACCCTGTTTCCTCATGTGTAAAAAAGGGAGATGACATCTTAAAACCTGTATAGTCAGGAACTAGAAGGTGCTATGAATTATGACATTTGAGCCATCTTTCTCATTTTGTTTGGGTACAGAATCAAGTGTGGTACAATGGGCCCCAAGTGCCAGATGAGCCCATACAAAAAGCATAGAGGCTCAGAAAATTTTGGGGTTATGTCTCCCAGCATCTTCTATAATCTATGAAACTTGTCAGCACCTACTGATCCCGCTATGGTTCCTCCAAGAACCTTCCCTGCTTCTCCTTCATTCTTGGAAGAACCCTAGGAGGATCCTAGGGCATGTTTCTGAGCTTCTCTTGGTATCTGGAGAAGAGAAAATTAGGGAGAGAATCAGATGAAGTTGAAAAGTCCCCATGACCTGAGATGGGATGTCTCAGTTTCAAGAGCCTGCTCCTCAGGGCTGTCCCTGGGTTGGAAAAAAAAAAAAAAAAAAAGGCACTTTTCCGAACTGAAAAGCAATACCAAGTCTTGCCGGCCCACCCACTTGACTACGGGGCGAACTGTGCATACAGACCTGTGCAGGTTATGTCCCCAACGGTTACTCTGAAGGTGAAAGTGGGTACGTGTATTTGCACATCCGATCTTTCACATTCATAAACCGGGATGTTCTTGGTCTTCATGCCGTATTCGTGTAATACCTGAATTGGTGTTTTCCCTGGCTTAGCTGTAATCATCTTCCCCAAACTGCAAAAACCAGAAAAGGGTGTGCTTTGCATGCCGAAGCGGGGAGGGAAGCAGGAGCGAACAGAGGCGAGCGGGGCCCATGCGGGGGGCGGGGGGGCGCCGAGATGGCGAAGCGCCCCAGGGCCCGGGCCCCGGCCCCGCTGCGAGGGCTCCAGGGAGGGGACGTGGGCGCGCGCCGGGGGGGGGGCTGCCGGGGGGCTCCCTGGGGTCCCGGCGCCGCAGCCGCTCAGGACCCAGCCCGCAGGGCCCGGTGCCCCCGAGAGGAGGCGGCCGCGCGCCCCCCGCGCCCCCCCCCCCGCGCGCAGCCCGCGGCCCGGGAGGGGCGGGGCCAGGCTTGCAGCCCGGGGCCCGCGCGCCGCCGAGACGGCGAGAGCCGCGGAGGGGGCTTTACCCAGAATGCCGCCGCACGCGCTCCCCCGCCCCGGCCCGGCCCGGCCCGCCCCGCCGCTCCCGGCCCTGCCCGCCTTGGCCGCGGCGGTCCGGGCGCTGACCTGAAGGTCCCGCTGTCTTCGCGCTCCAGCGGCGGGGCCGCGGCGCGATGCCTGCTCTGGGACATGGCGAGAAGGGGCGGCTTGGCGGAAGAGCGCTGCGGAGCGACGTCCTCGCTCCCCGGGCCGGCCGGTCCCCGACAGGAGCGCCCCAGCGCCGCCGCCGCCTCCCTCTCCTCCCGGCTTGCGTCCCTCCCGCGGCGGGGCCGGGCGGGGGCGGAGCCTCGGGGCGGCGGCGGCGGCGGCGGCGGCCACGCCCCCTGGCGGCCCGGGCGGCAGCCCCGACTCCAAGCCGGGCCCCGCCCCCTCCGAGGCCCCGCCCCTTCAGGCCCCGCCCCCTCCCCATTCCCGCTTCCGCGCGTATCCCCCCGCCCTCCAACCCCCGGCCTCGGCGAGGCCGCAGTTCTGGGTCCTTAAAAGGAGGCGGTTTCCGGCCGCGGGGGGCAGCCTGTCGGGCTCCCAGCCTCCCGCTGTGTGAGGCCTGCCGCTCTGCTTCCGTTTCGGTGGCTGGGGGGGGCGGGGGGGGGCGGGGAGCTGAAGGGGGTTAGGGATCCGGGCAGCATCCCTTTAAGAAAAAGACTTCAGAATCCTAAATGCAGGATCGCTGCGGAAGGTCCCGGGGCTCGGCCCCGGAGCTTGCGAGTCGCGGTCCGTCGGCCCCGGGGCTGGCGCGGGCTCCCCTGGGCTGGGCCCTGCGTCGGGGGGTGGGGCGGCTCGCGGGGATGCCCGGGGGCTGCACCCCCCGCCCCCCCAGCTTCTCCCGCCCCGCGGCCCCCATTGTCTCCATCTAGGCGTTCGCCGCGACAGGAACGCTGGGCCGGCGCATCCGAGCAAGGCACCTTAGGGGAGGGAAAACGACTGCTCTTCCGTGGGCTCCCATTAAATGCTGTCTCGGCACGCCTGTGTGGGTAGTCGCTGTCGCCTTCGCCTGGGATGCACCCACCCCCTTCGGTGGGGAGCCGACTGCGACGGTAGATGTGTCGCCCAGGGGTTTGCTAGCCACTTGCAGAAACGATGCCCCGTGCTTTCCCTGCGTCGTGGAAGGTTGCACAGCGCTGTCCACACAAAGGGACGTTATTAAAAACTTTTTTTTGGGGGGGGGTTACATGAGAGCTTGGTTGTATGACACCTTGGATCCTTGCAAGCAAATGAAAACAGCATCCAGAATCTAATCAAGGTGATTTATATTATCTGGGACTTGGGCCTATTCTATCTTCCACCCACTGTCCCCTCTGTGTATGTATCGAGTTTACTACCTGCTGTTAAGCTCTGAGGAGTATCCAACTATAAGTGCACATAGCTATTTAAATATATATATATATATATATACATATAAACCTCCACGTAACTATGGTAATGCAATATTTCAGCTCTCAGCTTGGTCTCTAAAATTTATTTTTTTGCCACGATATCTTAAAGACAAGCCCAAACTTCATATAGCTCCCTTTATTTTTTTGATTTTTAAAAAATTTTTTTGAGTATATAGCTCTCTTTAAAGGTTGAGCAATGGAGATAATGATGAAACAAAATACATACAGCGCTATTTCAAAGAGTTGTCTGTGCCAGCTTCAGAATAAAAAAAAACCCTAAGTCATAGTTATTATATATGTATTAGTCTTATACAGTTATCTGTCTACGTGTTTATATGTGTAATATGGCTTTTGTTATTTCATAAAAATCTGCATACAATTGTTTCTCTATATTCTGTGAATTTATATTTATATTTTGTATTAATCATGAATAATTAATGTTTTACATTAATACAAGAAGGAGAGCATACAAGAAGGAAATGAATGAACTGTATAGTATAAGGATTCAAAATAGCACTTGACTGTTGCCACAATCGGCATGATGAAGTTGTGAAGGAATTCCCTTTGGACCATGTCCACTGTAGATGATATCCAGGGCCAATGTTAGTGTCTAAATTGCATTATTGCCATAGGGCTACAGGTGTCCTTAAAGCTGGCAAACTACTATCAACAGTAACCCTCATCAAGGACGTTGGTCATGTCTTAAAATTAATAGTTTTCTGTGTATGTTTTAGTGCTTATGGACGGCAATTCCAAATTGACTTGCTTTCAGTATATCATTTTACACTGTTGATCTATAATTCATTACCTGAGCACACCAGGGGAGGCAGTGTTGTGAATTGTACACTGGCAAGCTACTTGGTGAAACCATGCTTTGTATTTTTAATGTGTTTAATTATATTTAAAATCAAGCAAGGCTGAGGGTTGTGTCTGGTTTTCTGTGAAAGTATGGATTGTTTTCTGAGGGTTGCAGTTGATGACGTTTTGATACCATATTAATATGTTTGCTGCTGCTACCAAGAGTTTTGTCAAGCAAGTTGGAGATGGAGGGAGATTAGTTCCTGTTCCAAGCCTCAGTGAGGCTGACAAATACCAACCTCTAAGTCTGGTGGTAAAAAAGAAGCGATGCTTTCTCTTTCCTAGATATAAATTTACCTCAACACCTTTTACGCTGAAAGATATCCTTCTAGGAGACAGAGAAATTTCAGCTGGTAAGTTTAAATATCTGTTTGGGAGTGACTACTCATTCAGCTATAGTATTGACAGTCTAAACATAGGTTGTATATGCTAATATGTGTAATATTTGCACATTGATAAAAGCAAACTTTTATGATAGTAGTAATAATATTAGGCTTAATATATAAAATTTGCATAGTATCAAATCTCTTATTGGTTGAATAATTTCCCAACCTATTTGGTGAAATTATTGTATAATTTTATTGCAATTGCTTTATAGATTGTTTTAACTGAAACAACTTAGAATAGGACAAAATAATATATTTCTTCATCTATAAAATGGGATATTACCCTTTCCTATCTTACAGGGTCAAATGAAAGTAATTGACATTTATTTCTTATGACTCAGTTATTGCAACTGGTAAACTGAAATGTATTTTACAGGCTAGATTAGAAAACATTGATATTTTGACAAATTATTTGTTATAAACACTTGTTTTTCTTTCAGCCACTCAGTGGATCTTAGAGCTTTGAGAATTCTTTTGGTGAAACAAAAGAACTTGAGTTCTCTTTTTAAATACTCTATTTTTGTTGTTATTTGAGTTGCTAGCTTAAGTCTTGGCATGAAGTGTCACCTTTCTCAACATCTGTGTAATGGAATCTTCAATAGTAAATTAATACATTATTATATGTAATCTATATTAGATGAATTTGAGACATTAAAAAAAATATTGATTTCAGGGCACCTGTGTGGCTCAATGGTTGAGCGTCTGTCTGCCTTCGGCCCAGGTCGTAATTCTGGCATTCTGGGATCGAGTCCCACATCAGGCTCCCCTCCCTCTGCCTATGTCTCTGTGTCTCTGTGTTTCTCATGAATCAATTAATAAAATATTTAAAAAATAAGTAAAAATATTGATTTCCTTCATAAAGGTATTTCATCTTATCAGTTACTGAATTATGAAGATGAATCAGATGTTTCCCTTTATGGAAGGCGAGGCAACCATATTGTGAATGACGTTGGGATTAACGTCACTGGATCAGATTCTGTTGCAGTAAAAGCTTCATTTGGTGTAGTGACCAAACACGAAGTGGAAGTATCAACATTGCTCAAGGAAATTACTACACGGTCAGTAGAATAATACTTAATGTACTTAAATGTGTTCATTAAATATTTTGATTGTATGGACTTTGTTACAAGGAATTCTGAAAACATTCAGGTGATGTATATCGTCTAATGTAATTTATTTGTTTTATTTGTTTGGAATACTTCAAATTAGCAATATATCCAGACTTTAGATAAGGGTAGATAACCAAAATCATTTGGCTTAAACAGAATTTTTAGGTGTTCCACAAAATTGCTTTGACCAGGTACACATTTGCTAAATTATTAGATTAAAAGAATACACTGGGGTGCCTGCGTGGCTCAGTTGGTTAAGCAGCCAACTCTTGATTTCAGCTCAGGTTGTGATCTCAGAGTCCTGAGATTGAGCCCTGTGTTGGGCTCTGTGCTTGGCAAGGAGTCTGCTTGAGGATTCTCTCTCTCCCTCTCCCTCTGCCCCTCCCTCTGCTTGCACATGTGCTTCTCTCTCTCCAAAATAAAAATAAATAAATCCGTAAAAAAAAAAAAAAAAAGAATATGCTAATCTGCTTGTAACAAATATCCTAAGGGAGTCTCTTCCAACAGACTCCTATAATAAGCATGTTTTAAGAGAAAGAAGAGCCAGATTATAAATGGCTTTTGAGCAGACCTTCTGATTTGTAGTAGACCTGCTTTGATTTCCTTTTAGTTACAGTGCACTGTGAGTTACACAGGACAGCAAAAAATGTACTCGATTGTATGTAACTGGGTGTGACAGATTCTTGTGGATATCTCTATTCTTTATTTTAGAAAAATTAATTTTGACCACAGCTTGATACGTCAGACAAGGAGCAACAGAAAGGCAGTATTGTGTGTGGTCATGGAAAGCATTCGGACCACGAGGCAGTGCTCGCTGTCTGTGCATGCTGGAATTCGCGGGGAAGCCATGCGGGTAAACCACACTCATTAGGTTTCTCTTACTAAAAAGGTGCATTGGGAATTTTTTAAAAGTTCTCAATTTCTAATGAGATGTGTGCATTTTGTCAGATGTTGAGATTAAAGAACTACCAGTGCATATAGGATTTTGCACAGTAATGGTTTTGTTTTAGAATTAAAAAAAAAAATCTGAGAAAACTTTGATCCTAAGTGTATAATATAATGCAAACAAAACATGAATCCTAATGAAGTAATGCATACTGGAGTCCTTCTATTACTATTTAAATGATGTTGGAAGAATAAAAGTTGAATGCTTATGTTGAATTCTTGATTGTAAGTAATGTGCTTTATACTTGAATTTTTAAAAGTTGACTTTATATTATTTTAATTTTCCTAAAGTAAGACCATAATGGCCAAATGTGCTTCATTCAATGTTAAATACTTTTAGAAAACTCTTGGCAATTACTCGTGTTTAGTTCTCTGGCTCAGTATTATTTGTCTTTGTTAATCACATAGTAATGACACATAATTGTCATGGTTTTATTAAAATCAGTTGTTAGAGTTCAGTGAAAAACTTTTTGAATCTTTGCAAATAAAAGTTCTGTTCAGTGGCTACATTTAGCTGTCCAGTGAGTTGTTTAATGGATTATTTTGGGGGCACAAACAAACATTTATTTAATGGTTGGAGATTATTTTGGTAAACAAGTTGATGATTGCTTTGGAAAACTACTGAAAACTCTGGGGGCTTTGGAATAATAGACATAGTAGGCTAAAAACAACTATAGCACTTAAACAGATGGTTTGTGGTTGAAAAAAAAAATAAGGTGTCTGTGTCGGAGAGCATTACTGTTGTGGTAGCACTAATCATTGGCCCTAGTGCCAGTGTTCTGAGAAAGTGGTAACCCGTTCCTAGATTGTGAGACCTCTTTGACCCGTTTAGACTTCTGGTCTAAACAGTTAAATTCAATGGGATAATTTGTTTTTGTTTTAATAGTAAGATTGTATGAAATGTTTTGTTTCTCTAAAAAGCTATCCTTACATATTATGCTCCTTAATAATATTATTTACTTATTTACTATAGTTTCATTTTATGGATGAACAGAATCCCAAGGGAAGGGACAAAGCTATTGTTTTTCCGGCACACACAACCATAGCTTTCAGTATTTTTGAACTCTTCATTTACTTGGATGGTGCCTTTGGTAAGTGAATGATTTGCATGAAACACTGAGATTATATTTTTAAGAATTTCATGGGAAACAAACATACTATGTAATTGTAGGAGAATGATACTGTCAGCACTGTCAATCTTATGCTTGGGTAAAGTAGCTGGGAAAGACCATCTGGTCCCTACTACTTACCCACTACCTCTTTTCTCCTTTTTTTTTTTTTTTTTTAAGATTTTTAAAAATTTATTCATGAGCGACACAAAGAAAGAGGCAGAGACATAGGCAGAGGGAGAAGCAGGGAGGCGGATGTGGGACAGGATCCCAGGACCCCAGGATCACAACCTGAGCAAGAGGCACATGCTTGACCACTGAGCCACCCAGGTGCCCCAGGAAGTCTATTCAAGAAACCTAACAGTGGTGATCTCTGGAGTGGAAAACTGAGGCTGGGGTCCAGGATAGACAGGAGACTTGTTACTGTATCCCCTGCTTGTAGTCTGGATTTTGTACCTTGTGACTATTAGCTTCTCCAAAGATATATAAAATTTAACTTAATGCAGCGAATGACATACACCAGAATTTTCCAACCACAACTAAAACTCCCAATAAAATATGAGTTGTTCACGTTATAACATCTTCTAAAAATTTTTTTTTATAGACCTTTGTGTCACTTCAGTGTCAAAAGGAGGATTTGAGAGGGAAGAAACTGCAACGTTTGCACTGCTCTACAGATTGAGGAATATACTATTTGAGAGAAGTATGTCCATTGAAGAGTATTTCAAATGTGTTTTTTTTTTTTTCTCCTTGGATTAACATTTGAGTTTATCTAGTCAGTACTCCTTCTGTTAAGGAGGAATTTAAATCTAAAAGCCAAATGATTCCATGACCGATGGTTTAGATGCACGTACTTACAATGCGGTTTGGTTCTGTGTTACTTATTTGACTTCTAACACACTTCTCTGTTTGTGCTTTTAGATAGAAGAGTGATGGATGCCATTTCTCGTTCACAGCTTTACTTGGATGATCTTTTTTCTGACTATTATGACAAACCTCTCAGCATGACAGATATTTCTCTCAAAGAAGGGACTCATATCCGAGTTAACCTGCTTAATCACAACATTCCAAAAGGACCTTGCATACTCTGCGGAATGGGGAACTTTAAAAGGGAGACGGTTTATGGATGCTTTCAGTGCTCTGTCGATGGGCAGAAGTATGTGAGACTTCATGCAGTTCCTTGTTTTGATGTTTGGCACAAGAGGATGAAATAAAATGGAAAATGAATGTAGTGTGTTTAGGTGCAACTGTGCCACACACCTTTCCAAAATCACCTAGATATGCTTTGGTGAATTGTGGCAAATTAAAGAGGGAAAGAGAAATTCACCTGCCTGGGCATCATTTTCTTCATCCATAAGCATGGAGATGATAATGGTGGCTGCCCTATAAATTGTCATAAAGATTATATTGTTTATGTGAGGGATGCCTGGGTGGCTCAGTGGTTGAACATCTGCCTTCGACTCAGGGTCCTGGGATTGAGTCCCACATCGGGCTCCCTGCGTGGAGTCTGTGTCTCCCTCTGCCTGTGTCTCTGCCTCTTTCTTTCTCTGTCTCTCATGAATAAATAAAATCTTAAAAAAATACATACATATATATATATATATATATATATATAGTTTATGTGAAAACAGGTTTATATATAAATTTTAAAATATAAGTGCTCCTCCATGAAATCTACCAGTTACTTTAGAATTATATTTGGGATTAGGCTATCATTTTAGATAATTTTACATGCTGATTTTTCCAGATATCAATTCTATTTTTAATTGACTTTTAATTCAACATTAAGAATGACAAGAGGTTAAAAGTGGTGACTTTATGGTACTTTAACCATTGCCTTAGATCTGGTAAAATGAGAAAAATGTGTTAATAATTTAATGTAATCCTAAATGTTTAATTGTGGCATCAAATGAAAAGCACATTGAGCACAGCGTGGGGTTTTGTGTACACAGTTAACAGGGTGATTCATAGTATGCCATCCTGTAATATACACATGCTCACTAGTTTTGTCTTTATAAAAACCCACTACTGTCATTTTAAAGGTAAGGCAGCTAGGACACCTTTATCTTTCTCCTTTGAAAATGCTTAAAATTGGGGGATGCCTGGGTGGCTCAGGGGTTTAGTGCCTGCCTTTGGCCCAGGGCGTGATCCTGGAGTCCCGGGATCGAGTCCCGCGTTGGGGTCCCTGCATGGAGCCTGCCTCTCTCTCTCTCTCTGTGTGTGTCTCTCATGAATAAATAAAATCTTAAAAAAAAAAAAGAAAATGCTTAAAATACTTAACATATTTAGTTCTGAGAGACCTTTTTCATCTACTCTGTAAGACATCTGCCATTTTTCATATACAACCTCAATTATTAATTCATTATACACCCTTATTAAAATAATTGCAAAAGTAATGAAAATTCTAGAACTCAAAATGCAGTGACAGCACTCACTACTAGGTATATATGCCTGTGACAGCATAAAGCAAAAAAAAAAAAAGCATAAAGCAATTGTGTAAATACAAAATACCTGATTATGAATGTAGAATGATTAAAATTTTATTTAAATGTGATTTGAGTTTTAGAATCAGTCTCCATTTAACATCATCCATGATTTTTAAAAACATAACTTTAAAAGCACTTTGAAAACAATGGGACAGAAAGGATAGAATTATGAACAGTTTGCATTATGGCATGATTTCCATGTATACCTTCTTCCACCATACTTTTGAGCAGAATATGTAAGTCAAATGCAAGTCTGAGTATACTGACTGCAAAATGCTCTAGTGACTTTTTTTTTTTTAATGTAGAGGGTGGGGGCAGTTTCCAAACCAAAACATATTATTGAGTCACCAACTTAGTTCAATTCAGTGGAGGTTTTCCTGAGCGAAGTCAAGGAACAAGAATTGTCAACTGAGCAAGTGAGGAGGAGTTACAAAATTGGGTACAGGCATGAAGCACTATTGGGAGGAAAGAAAAGAGAGTGAAGGGTTTGGTTTTATGAAGTGTCAAACTCTGTGCTATGCATACGTGATATCCGTTAATCTGGTGGTTTTTGCATTACCCACCCCTGCACTTTTTAGATAATAGAATTTCTGGCAGTGTCACTAAAGAGGTTAAAAGATGAACACTGAACAATGATTTGGAAAGAGCAAGTTTCAGAAAATGGAAAAGCTTTGTTTTGAACTCATTTTGAGCAGAGCTATTTAGTGCCTGACCATACCTTCCTATATCCGCAGGGGGCAAAACTGTACATGTTCCATGCACTACCTATGGCACCAGTAGGAGGATCTTCTACAGCATCTCTTACCTCCTGTTCTCAACAGGTTGGATGTCATGATTTGACCATGACACAAAATTGCCATGGGAGCGTAGATCCCCGTTTGTATCCTCATCTGATATCCTCACGTGTAAATTCTGCGCGTTTCCAAAAATGTGACGGCGTAGCAGTGTAATGCTCATTTGTGATCCATAACAAGAACATCATAAAATGTAGTGACTTCAGATAGAGGTACATAGGGAAAGGAAACTAGAAACTGAGAAATACCATGGCATGAATTTAAGACGATGAAGACAAAAAGTTAGGGATGGTGGATCTACAGGCCTACAAGAAGGAAGAGGAGATAGCACATGTATAATGATGTCTGAAGGAGTACAGACTCCAAGCAGCATAGATTTTGTTATGTCTGCTTTACATGAGGAACAAAGTCTTTGGTCTGAGCAAAATATCTTTAAACATTCCCCACTGGAATAATGACCAGAGGCCAGAGCTTGCACCAAAAATTACAGAGACTGTGTTAAGACTCACTGTGGGACACAGCTATGCAACTAATATTTTCCTATATGTATGCAAAAGGAAGATTTGTTTAGTTCTCTGTGATTTTTATATCCTATTTGTAATGCTATGAAATATATAAACAAATGAAATGCTAATTCCTGGGTCCTCTTGAATATTTTTAAGATATAGGGCATTTTAACAATTAAAATGTTAAAAATTGGTTATTTACATACTTACTTATACATGTTGTTAAGGTTAGAGGTGGGAAGAACTTGTAGATTTTGACATAGGTGTCCTCCTATCTCTGGAAGGGGGAGAACTGCCCACTGAGACACAGAGATCTATTTTCGTGGTGCTGCAATTCATGTTCACAGAATAAAGCAATAGGGAAACACAATGATACTTTTCCTGAAGGTTAAATTTGCAAAATAACACACATTTATTATGCCAAATTACATGTATTGAGGATATTAAAATATGTTCTCGTGGGAGGAAAACAGAAAATACAAGTTCTAGAGAAGGGACTTTGTTTTATACATAAAGTACAGTAAGTAGCTAAGAAAACTTAGAAATAAAAATATACTATAGTTCATCATGTTGATATACATTGTATTCCTTGGAAGAAATGAAGCCATCACCATCATGGTCATTCTTCTTGAAAATATCTTCTAAAACTGCATTCTGATATGACTTGTCACGTGGCTTCTCATCTTTTTCAAATTCCCTTTTCAGGTAGTGATTTATCTAGAGGGCCAAAATAATGTCTTTAATACAAAGGTACCACAGTAAATTTTCAGTAACTTTAAGGAAATGTTTACATAAGGAAACTCTAAGCCTGCTTATAATAAGTGGTATAAAATCTTTAAAAACTATTTGAGGTTTTATTCTTTTAACCTTTGAAGCAATTTTCTGAAAAGAAACATCTTCAAATTAGCTTCCCCCGAGGTTATAGATGGTTAGTGGTACATACTCAAAGATTAACATCGGAAATGAATTTTGTTGAAACTAATTGTCTTTCAATAATCTATACTGTCTACATTATGAAAGGAAAATCATTCTTAAGGATTTCTACTAGTAAATAAACTCCAAATTGGCATTTTTTTGTAATCTCTAAAATTAATGCATATTAATGTATTATCAACAAAACTCAACCATAGGTTTCAAAAAAAAATCCTCTATAATAATAATGTCAAATAAAGCACAGGTATTAAGTATTCTTTCTCTGTGTAATATGACATTTCTACTAGCCACATGGGGACTCTCAGCACTTGAAACTGGCTCGATCAGATAGAGACATGCTACTCTAAGGGTTAAATATACAACAAAATTTTGAAGACAAAAAAATAATGATAATTTTTACATTGATTTCATGTTGAAAGGGAGGTATTATAGATATACTGAGTTAGGCAAAACATAGTACTAAAATTCATTTCACCTGTTTCTTTTCGCTTTTTAAGATGTGGCTACTAAAGTTTGTAAATTACGTATGTGACTCAACTATATTTCCATTCGAAAGTGCTAATATATGATAACTAAAAAAAGCAATGTACAATAATCTGGAGATAATATTCCGCAAGGCTGGGCACTTTAAAGGCATGAGTATTTTTGAAAGTTAAAGTTGAATTCTGAGAGGTTTTTAGCAGTATGTATCCCAACTCAGTCCACCATGGCTAGACTTTATTTTAGAAAGATCAACAGTTCTTAATGAAGGACAGATCAACTGTTCGCAAGTGGGACTTCAGTCCTACCGAGGAAGATACATTTTTCTTCCAGTTGAGCTTTAGCAATTCTACGTAGGTGAAAAGAGTTTTAAAGAACCTCAAATATTTCTCAGTTGCTAAGTAAATATATTTTCATAACCACGATTACCGACTCTCAAGATGTACTTTTCTAGTACACTGTGGTAGAGAGGTACAAAGAGGCAGTGGGTAAGAACATAACCTTAATTTTGCTGGTGGTAAGTTCCATACTGTCTCTACTTCCTAATTTAATAAAAATACTGTGTTCCTCTCCTCTCCCATCTTACACTAAAGAAATAATTGACTCAATCTTTCTGACAATGAAGGGAAGTAGTTTCTTTTAGTTCATGTTTCAAATCTAGGCTTTGTCTTGCACTCGCTGTGTGGTCTTGGACAAATAATTTAGCCTCTCTGGATCTCAATTTTGTCCTGTTTAATAGGAGGGAAACAGTATCTCGATGGTAGTAATGATGTGAAGATTATTGTAACATTTATAGATGTCAATTAAAGATAGCTATTATTATTCACACATGTGGAAGTCACTCTTACCATCTGGTGATTATGCAGCTGATACCTGAGAGACATTTGGGCAGACTGCTGCTAAGCAGGTCACTGTTTTTGGACTTTCTCTACTTTTATTTTCCAGAAAGAACTACAGAGCCCATAAGGTCGGTCTACTGAAGAGTATTCATACTGCAGAACATGCCCCTTTGCATTTGATAAGGGATGGTCTGTGTGCACAGGCTGAGCTCTTGGGTGCTATGTAAATTCATCTGCTGCTGGTCACTCTAAATAAAACTCATAAGGAGTCAACATGAAGTATGTCCTGGGATGAATATGCCAACCCTCTCATTGTCCTTCTTAAGGAATGGGGGATGTTTTCATTCACACATCCCTCTTCCACTGCTGAGCAACAAAGGAACTGCAGGGGACCATCCTTACTAATATCCTGGAGGAGGAAGTGGAATCAAGGTGGAGGAAGGACTGCAGAGAGAGAGAGGAAAAAGAAACAGAATAAGGGGGTTTACTTGTCTCTTGAAATCAACGACTCAGGTGACTCAGGTACCGGCTATTACTTGGGTGATAGAGTCATGCATATTAAACTGTCTCCAAACAAGAGGGGGGATAGCTGGTCACTCAATGTAAGCAAAAAGGGTATAGTCAGTGGGTCTAAGGCACCAGTCTTCAACAGTACAAACATTCTCCCTGAAACATATATTCTGGAAATTCTCCAAAAGCAGAAGGGAAGGCGACGGTTAAGAGCACAGTAGTAGGGCAGCCTGGGTAGCTCAGTGGTTTAGCGCCGCCTTTGGCCCAGGGCCTGGTCCTGGAGTCCCTGCATGGAGCCTGCTTCTCCCTCTGCCTGTATCTCTGCCTCTCTCTCATGAATAAATAAAGTCTTAAAAAAAAAAAAAAAAAAGCACAGTAGTAGAGCCAGACTGCCAGGGTGCGGTCTGATTTTGCCACTTAGTGTGGTGTGACCTTAGGCCAGTTACCTAACCTGTCTGGGCATCATTTCCCCACCTTCTGTAACATAGAGATAATGACAAGATAATGACCTATCTCATAAACTGTCATAAAGATTAAATGACAGGCTGAGGTGCTTATAGTAGTACCTGGTACTGAGAAAGTATGAAAGAATATTATTATTGCTATTTGACATCTTTATTAATCCCTCAATTCATACACAAGGTTAACTGGAATGCAGAAGCTGGTTAGTGAACTCCTGGCTCCCACTTACTAAGTTTCTAATGCACACAATTCAAATTCTTGGTAGCTCTTTTCATAATCCCATGTAATCCCCACAATCCTGTGAGGTAGAAATTACTGGCACTGTTATAAATTCCTACGGTGCTGCTTGAACGAGATCTGTTCTTGTAGTCTAGAAGCTGGAAATGCCCTGTACAGATTAGCTTGGTATTTTAATGACCCTCTGGCAGGGAGGAAGGCAACTGAACAGGATGACTCAGTTACAAAGTTTTATATTAAAAAAGCAATTTTCTTTCTTCCTGAAGCTCAGATTTTTTTTAGCAACCAGCTCTATAAAAGCAAAGTAATCAGCCCATGCTCAGTAGAGCTAAAAAAAATAACAGATGTAACATAGACGTATTTACATTGTGATGAAAAATTAGGCCTTACGCATTGAATTTGTTTGAATTACCTCAGTTTTAGAGAGTTGCCGGTCATTGTCCGTGTCTATCTGTTTAAATGTTTCAATGCTTCGTGGTCCTTTGGTCACCGCATAAAGTTCAATCTCAAAAATCAATGTTGCATCGGGTGGAATCTTGCCTTCTGCTAAAGGTATAATTTTTAAGTTTAATTTACATGAAGAAAATGTTCAAATATGCATTCATGAATAGCCATTATAGCATTATGATTGTTATTTCCTGTTTATAAAAACCGCTTACTAAACACTTTTAGGGAAAATTTTTCAATGTTTTTAAACCAAATCAGCTTGAAGAACCTAGTGGGCCATTACTTCCTAATTGAATTAAAATAGATACAACTCGTGTAATTTTTATTAATATATCCTGTCATTATACAGAGCTAGTGCAATGAAGAAATTCATGGGCAGAAAAATTTCAAAGTGTAAATCAATAATCTTTTAAAAAATGATACTGTAGAGTTACTTGGAAGCATAAAGAAAACATCTATTTCAATACACTTGTTTATCCAATCCTTTACAGACATTAAAAAAAAATGAGTGCAATGACAGTAACACTTTTATGAAATCTCTAATCACATAAAAAGTGTTAAGTATTAAGTTGAATAGTCCTCCTGAATAAAGTTAACCTATTCACTGATGTCACAGATGATCTTAGCAAGCTATGGGCTCTTTCAGATGACCATTTCATGAAAATAACCTGCAGAAATGACTCACTAAGAGGCAGGGGTTAGCTTGTGTCCCAGTATTGCCTAGAGTTTCATCCATTACAGGCACTCAGATATTTGTTGAATGAATGCCCCTGTGGTTTATTTTTTAAATGGCTGTTTGTTCTTTGAAGGAAATAGGAACTTCTTTAGTGAAACAGTGGAGAATTCTTGCTAAAGTATTCCTATAACCCAAAGAGAAAAGAGCTTGAAAGCTGTAACCAAAAGGAGAAATGATCAGTCATCTCCGAAGCCAGGCCAAAGAAAAATCTGCCCATGCATCCTCTGACTAATGGAGTTCCAAGCAATGTACCACCTATTACCTAACTTTAGAGTAAAAGAGGCAGAGATTAATTCAATGATAATTTTTACAAAATCCATTCCTATTCTGTTCAATTACAATCTCCTTATGACAGGGAAATAACTAATGACAATAAAGACAACCTAAAAACACAAATTTCTTAAGAAAAAATAGTACAAGTACATATAAAGTTTCCCAATAACTCTACTATACACACAGAAAATACTGCCAATCAGCTTTTGTCTTACAGAGAAATTAGAGCACAGGAAAGAGAAAAAAGGTGAATTTGCTATAGAATTACCTGTATTTAGAGAAGCAGATCAAAGGCGTGGGAGTTAATGTAAAGAATCTATACATACCAGGTGTACTGTTAATTAAGCACTAAAAGTCACATGCATTTCAAGACATGCAGGGGTGCTTGTCACGTGAAGCAAGGATATTGCACAGAGGAAAGCCTTCTTCAAGTACCACCTAAAATAAAGTCATGCTTGACGTTAGGTCTCAATAACATTTTTTTTTTTTTTTTGAGAAGCAGGGGCCTTTATTGGGGTCTGACAGATGAGGTGGAGGTGGAATCCTAGGCAGAGAAATGGCAAAGGGCCCTAGAAGCAGGAACCCAGCCCACCTGGCCTCCACCCTGCAGCCCCTCCCCTGCCCCTAGCCCCTGACTCCAGCCTCCTGCCTCTCATCAATAACATCTTATTTAAAAAAGCTTATTCGATCAAGAAGCAGTTTGTTAAGCAGTTACCTAGGGTCTCCACTCAACTTTTTCGTAATCTAATCCTACCTATTGTAATGCAGATAAGGCAGCAGTTAAGTATGTTCCAAAGAACATGCTTTTGTTGGGCCTCAGTTTCCTTATGTGTAAAACAAAAGTGCTGGTGGTGTTACTAATGAGATTCAACTTTTTATGTTTATGAGCGACACCTCAAATTGAATATGAACTAACTTCCTCAGAGTTAAACGAGTACATCTCTGCAGCAAGTATCTGGTTTATTAATAGCTTAGGCAGCTTATTAATAGCTTAATTAGCTTAGATTACCTTAGCCTGGGCAATCATTCATAGCTAAGCATAAGCTAGTTTACAAAAATGATAACAAAGTGGTCATTTGCTACAGGGGAAGGGGGCCCAAGAGGATGGATGAGCACCTATTGATGACGCAGGATGTGGTTAAAATGAGATTGAAGAGCCTAAAAGGCAAACTTTGCCTGTATCATCTTGCCTAGGATCGGCCTCAACCTATGACGATATTTTTGGGCAAGAATTGCATTCAATTTAATTTATCTTTAATTTTTTTCTCTCCTTCTCCCAGATTCCTCAACAACTAAAAATAGGATAGATAAATTATGGTTCCATGGGAGCTATTTTGATGGGACCAAATGATTGGCTGAAAGCCTTGAGAATGAAGCTGTAGTTACCTGGAGCTGTCTCCCTCCACAGGAGTTTTTAGTCTGATTGGGTCTGTTTTGTGCCACTAGCTTCCCTGCAATCCAATTTGGGGCAGCAATCCCCTCCTCTTACTCGAAAGAACAGGTAAGAGAATCACTACTATTAATAAGTTAACCAAATAGCTTCAAAGATGGTGTGACCTTTCCGATGAAATATTTGGGAATAATGACAATATCTCTTCGTAGAAAACTAATCCTTAACGACTTTAATTATATACGAAATATTTCAAATAAGTGGAGATAGCAAGGGTTCTAAATAGGTGAGGAGGGAATAATTCTTCAGTTTTCACAAAGCAATAGAGGGCAAGAACCTAAATGAGAATGCAAAGTAAAAACCAACCCTCTGCCAGGCTGACCATTTCCCCCCCTTTAAACACTTTCCCTCTTTATTCAGCTCCACTTTTAATGTTAGCAATTAAAAAAAATTTTAATTTTGGAAAAAAATTTTTTAAAGATTTTATTTATTCATTAGGGACACAGAGAGAGAAGCAGGCTGCCTGCGAGGAGCCCGATATGGGACTCTATCCCAGGATCACGCCCTGAGCTAAAGGCAGATGCTCAACCGCTGAGCCACCCAGGTGCCCCTAATTTTGGAAGAACTGATACATGCGCATGGCAAAAAAATTTAAACAGTACAAAATATTAGAGAGTAAGACATCTCCTTACCCTCACCCTCAGGCTTCCTTCTCAGGAACACTTACTGTCATCAGATGACTGTGTATCCTTCCACATATAATACGGAGAGGAGATTCATGATGCATATGTGAAATCCTGCCCCTCCCATGTAAGATCTTTGAGGATAGGAAGTTGTTTCTTCTTTGTACACGGCTTTATGCTCAAGGCCTGGGACAGGGCTTGGCACTGATGCTCAATAAATACTCCTTGCATGAATACACTCTATCCCATTTCATTATTATTTTTAAGATTTAATTTATTAGAGAGAGAGTGTGTGTGCATGAGTGGGGGAGGTGGGAAGGAGCAGAGGGGGAGGGAGAAGCAAACTCCCTCCTGCTAAGCAGGGAGCCCAATGGAGGGCTTGATCCCAGGACCCTGAGATAATAACTTGAGCCAAAGGCAGAGGCTAAACTGACTGAGCCACCCAGGCACCCTATCCCATTTTTCTTTTAACATATTAATATATATGGCTCTGTGGCATTCTTTTTATTGGCAGCACCATAATCCATTGTACCAATATACCATAATTTAACTAATTCCCTAGTTGTTTTTTTTTCTTGTTGAAGATTTTATTTATTTATTCATGAAACACACACAGAGAGAGGCAGAGACACAGGCCGAGGGAGAAGCAGGCTCCATGCAGGGAGCCCGACGTGGGACTCATCATCCTCCTCCTCCTCCGACCCCAGGATCACGCACTGAGCTGAAGACGGAAGCTCTACTGCAGAGCTACCCAGGGGTCCCTTAACAAATTCCCTATTGATGGATACTCAGGTAGTTTCCGGTTTTTTGCTACCAAATAAAAGCCTGATGAATGTCTTTTATATATACCTTTGTGTAACATTCCTGTAAATGGAACTATTGGGTCAGAGGATATGTGCTTTTAAATCTTGATAGAAATTGCTAGAAAGGTCGAGTGATTTACATTCCCAGCAATAATGCATGAGACTGCTACTTTTCTATACCTGTGCCAACTTTTCTGCCTTTGAGAATCTGATCAGTGAAAATGGTGTCTCATTTTGTTTTCTCTTTCTTTAATTATTAAGGCAACTAAGTAATCCCATAGATTTAAAGGTCATTTGTATTTTTTTGCTAGTGGGCTGCCTGCCAATTTTTAGGACTAGATCATTTTTATTACTGGTAAGTGTCTTCATAGTAGTTGGAAAAAATTTCCCCATTTATCTGCTCTACTTAGGTTCTCAGATCTTATAGCGGGATTTTAAAAATAGGAAAGATATTGCAAGAAGCAGTTCATTTTTTCCACATTTCAAGGCTGCTCCTGAATTTGGGTAATAGTGACTGGCAGCTTTTTTATATTTAGGTGTTCTTTTTTTACTACATTTCTGTGCTGTCCTTTTACTCTAAAATCTTATGTTTCAGTTTCCTGAATTTTATGAATTTGACTTTGGTTCTGCTTACCTAAGGTATATGCTATAGACATTTATGTAATAATAAAATAACATGGATTAAAACAAGTAAAAATGACTAAGGTAGAGCTTATAAAATATACAGGATCTTTATGAGTACTGCCACTACATGAGGGAAAGAACTCTGGCCAGAGATCTGTCTTCCAACAATGTCTTATTTTCTTTATTTGTAAAAAGTGGGGACCATGGTGGACTGGACTAGAAACAGCTAAAGTTTATAGCTCTGTAACTATTTCTCTGTGATTTTTAAAATATTTTTTATTTTTTTTAGTGAGTCAAAAAATTTTTTTAATCGTGGGGAATACATGTAATGTAAAATTTACTACTGGAACCATTTTAACCATACAGTTCAGTACAGTTTCCTACATTCACATTGCTGTGCAACCAATCTCCAGAACTATTTCACCTTGCAAAGCCTCTACTCCACCCTCTCCCAGCGCCTTGGCAACCACTTTTCTTCGAATTTGACTATCCCGCATACGTCGTACAAATGAAACCATACGGTGTTTTTTTTTTTTTTTTTTTGTGATTGACTTATTTCATTTAATATAATGTACTCAAGGTTCATCCATGTTGTAACACGTAGAATGAATGATATTCTATTTTATGTGTATACATGTTGTTTTTCCATTTATTGGTCAATGGACACTGGGGTTATTTCCACTTTTTGGCTATCGTGAATGGTGCTGCTATGAACAAGAGTTTACAAATATCTCTTTGAGACCCTGCTTTTACTCTTTTGGACATATACCCAAAGCTATGATTTATTTTTAAATATAACTTAGAGATAATAATATTAAAACACCTTACCATAGCCTTCCTTTCCATATGCAAATGAAGGGGGTATAATCACTTTCCGTTTCTCTCCAGGGCACATATCCATCATCGCTATGTCTAGGCCTTTTATGACTTGCCCAACACCAAGAACAAACCATTTGGGGTGGCCTTCGTTTTGTGTCCGGCTATAATAAAAAACAACACTTAGGTAAGCTGATTTTAAGAAAAATAAAAATTAGGGACACCCGGGTGGTTCAGAAGTGTCTGCCTTTGGCTCAGGGCGTGATCCTGGGGTCCTGGGATCGTCCTGGGTCAGGTTCCCTGCAGGGAGCCCACTTCTCTCTCTGCCTATGTCTCTGCCTCTCTCTCTCTCTTTCATGAATAAATAATTAAAATCCTTAAAAAAAAACAGAAAAAGAAAAATTAAACATTAAAATACATGGGAGGGGCACCTGAGTGGCTCAGTTGGTTAAGCTCTGCCTTCTGCTCAGGTCATGATCTCAGGGAACTTGGCTGGGGCCCTGCATTGGCTCCCAGTTCAGCCAGGAGTCTGCTTCTGCCTCTCCCTCTGCCACTTCCCCTGCTCATGCTTGTTCTCTCCCCCAACCCCATCAAATAAATAAATAACATCTTTAAAATATATATATATATATATATATATATATATATACACCTTGGACATTTAGTTACAATTTAAAATTGGGAGCCCTTTCTCTTTTCCCATATTAACATTCATTCTGAACCCCCTGGCGGGATGTTTGGCTCAAACTTCTTTCATAAAGCCAGAAAGAAGTATGATTTGCCCAAAGCTAGTCATTAGGAGTTATGTCATTATCTTTTTAATTGCCATCTTCACAAATACTATTCAGTAGTTCCCTTTTTAATAGATCTCCGGCCTCCAACTAGCTGCATGGCTTTGTACAAAGAACTCCTTTAACCTTTCTGGGTTTGTTCTAAAAAAAATGATGGTGCAGGTTTAGCCTCAAAAAGTCATTTGAACAATTAAAATTTGTAAAAAAAAAATATAATTAAAATTTGTATCTTTTATTACATGTATCTATTTTCTTCCAAATGTAAAAACTAACTCTCCCAATCCTATCTTTATGGGGCAATGGTACAGATGAAGAAAAGCCATTCTTCCTCTGAGTAACAAAGGATCAATTAAATCAGAGCAGGCAGTGATTGAGATTAAGGTGGGGGGGGGGGAGATAGGAAAACACAGGACCCAGAAGACACCAGGGGGCAAGTTATTGGTGTTCTGGTTTTTGGATACAGTTGGAAAGTGGCCCTGAGCCTGTAAATACCGTGCTTCTGAAGGCTAGATAAAATCTCTCAAACTTTTTCTACCTAAATCTTTATAAAGTGATTCCAACAGGGCAGCCTGGGGGGCTCAGCGGTTTAGCGCAGCCTTCAGCCCAGGGCGTGATCCTAGAGGCCCGGGATGGAGTCCCACATCGGGCTCCCCGCATGGGGCCTGCTTCTCCCTCTGCCTGTGTCTCTGCCTCTCTCTCTCTGTGTCTCTCGTGAATGAATAAATAACATCTTTAAAATAAATAAAGTGACTCCAACATACGGCAAAAAAAAAAAAAAAAAAAGTTGAGAACAGCCTTGCAGACAATACCTTGACTTCTATAGATCCCAAAGGGGGTGGCGGTGGAAGTGGTCTGGGTGTGTGTGGTTGTACTGGATTTCCGATGATCTCTTGGGGCAACATTTTCAATAGTTGAAAAAGTAACCGTTCAATAGGGGACTGCATATCGTAGGAGTCCACTCTCCCCCGGGGTGAGATAACAAGAACAAGCCAATCCCCAACCACTGAGGCTTCTGGTCGGTAAAGGGGAGGCTGGGTTCCATGCACCAGCTGCGCGCAGGAGCAGTTCACAGCATTGCCTACCTGCAGTAGAATTTCGAGCCGTCGCTCGCCAGGTAGCCGTCGTAATGCGCATTTAGCAAGTCTCCCTTCTTGCTGCTCTTCGAACAGTTTTCTGGACGATGCAAAACTTCGATTTTCACTGCCTCTGTGCTCCCCTCTTCCTTTTGTCCCTGAGCAGTAAAAATGACCCCTACACAAAAGAAAATGAGGAATCTGAGTGGAAATGGCATGATTCCCGAAGCTGACCCCCCCCCGATGACCACGGCGCCCCCCACGCGTGTCACTCGCGCTCAGCTGCAGCGGCCAGGGCAGCCGAGTTCCGACGCGTGGCAGGCATTGTTCTACGTCACAGAGGGCTGGGGGCGGGGCCCGGGGGCGGGGCCTCGATGGGGGCGGGGCGACCCGGGGCCACGCCCCCTCCGGGCTGCGCGCTCCGCCTCGGAATCCTCAGCGGTTCGCCCTCGGTTCGGACCCTTGGGTGCCCGGCGCCTCGGATGGTTGTCACCGGTCGTGGAGGCACTTGCACCACTCCTCGGAAAATCCGCGTATTTTACGGACTGTTTCCTCGGGCTTCGGTGGTCACGATCGCGTTTCCTAAAATGAAACCGGCCAGAGACATAAATTCACAGTCTGGGATTGGGATGTTGTAGTCAGAGAATACGGCTGTCATTTTTGGGCGTAAAAGGTTTGTCCTCAGCCCCCCCCTCCCCCCCCAGGGAACGAGCCGGCCATCGGAGGAGACTCTCTGCTGCTGGGGGTGTTGTCCTTGAAAGCACCTCCTCGGGGTGGAGTCACGCATTTCGAGGTTCCAGGCTAAGCCACACACTATCTGACGCCACCTGGTCGCCAGTAAACAGCAGGTGCTGCAGCTCCTCGCCCCGTCAAAGGCGTTTCCCACTAGCCAGCTCCAGCGATGTGGGACCTGCTGCTGGTTTGCATTTCTTTCCCCTCCTCCCCACTCGGGGCCGCCCTTCATTTGAGGGCTCGTGGGAGATGGGGGGAAAACTTGACGGGGTCCTTTCTCTTACCAGCTCTGCGAGCCTGGTGACCATCCACTGTACACGGATGAGAAAATGAAGTAATTGGAGTCTTCGGCCCTTTTGTTCCAATCTCACAGCTAATATGCAGCCGGGGTTTGACCGAGTTTGAACACAAAGCCAGTTTTAACCCCGCGCAACATTTTATTTAGTATGAAAAACTTACAAACATACAGAAAAATCGAATTTTATTACCCCCGTCACCGCGGCCTTCTAGCCACCCCACGGATTGTCTGTCTCAGCAACGTGTAACTATATTCATGACACAGCCATCCATCATCTATCGGTCTCCCTGCCCTTTCACCAAGTCACCTGGTTTCCAACTGAATACCCCAACACTTTCTACAGACCAAATCAGAAAAGCTTCAGCGCAGGCCTAGATCAGGCTCTGGAAAGAGAGGTGCGGTTCTAGCTGGCTCGGGGATGCGAGGCAAAACCGCAGCACTGAGCCGGCTTGGCTCAACGCTTGCAGCATTTCATAAGTCTGAATTATTGTCATATATTTTTTAAAGATTTTATTTATTTATTCGAGAGAGAGAGAGAGAGAGAGAGAGAGGCAGAGACACAGGCAGAGGGAGAAGCAGGCTCCCTGCAGGAAGCCGGGTGCGGGACTGGATCCCAGGACCCCGGGGTCACGCCCCCAGCCCAAGGCGGATGCTCAACCGCTGAGCCCCCCAGGCGCCCCCTGAATTATTGTCATTATGTAAGATGATCATTAAAATGAAAGCTAGGAGAAAGCTCCTATTTCTAGAATGAAATAAATCCCAAAGTCTGGTTCCCTGTTTTACATTCTTTTTGTTTTGTATTTTAAAATGTCCCCCCTGTTTTATATTCTAAATGAAGCAGTGGCCATCTGAGGTTAGTTGTCGGCGTGGGGACCGTCCCCTGGGGCGGCGCCTCCCCGGGGGACCCTCAGCGGCACACTGCCCTCCCAGGAGGTCATTTCCTGGGACCCCGAGTGTGAGGAGGCAAGGATCGAACGAGAAATGCGTGGTCTTTGACGGTCCTGGAACGACCACCGACCACCGCCGGCGGGGGGGAGGGGGAAGCCCGAGAGGCCCGCGCCTCCTGCGGGACGTGCGCGCGGGCGGCGGGTCCTCGGGGTTCCCCGGGGCTGAGCGCGCCGCGGGCTGCAGGCCTCCGCCCGCCGGCTCCGGGCCTCTCCCGGGCAGGGGGCGGGGAGGACAAGGGCGGGGAGACCCGGGGCGGGGGTGGGGGGGGAGGAGGAGGAGGAGGAGGCCCGGGCTGCACCCGCCTCCCCCTCCTCCCCCCGTCCCCGGGCGCCCGGCCCCCTCCCCGCGGGACTGCAGGCCGCGCCCGCTCCTCCGGCTCCGCCGCCGGGGAGGGGTTTCCCGGGACGAGCCGGCCCCTTTCATCCAGGAAGTGAAAGCGACGTCGGGGTCAATGAAAGCAAGCGGGGAGCCCGGGGCGGGGGGGGGGGAGGGCGCAGCCGGGGCGCGGGAGGGCGCAGCCGCGGGCTGGCAGCGCGAGCCGGAGCCGGGGGCGCTGGTGCCTGTGCCTGTGCCTGTGCCTGTGCCTGTGCCGCCGCCGCCGCCGCCGCCCGGGGATGCGAGAGCCCGCGCGGGGCGGCCCCCGAGCTGCACGCGGCGGCCGCCGCCCCGGCCTCTAGGGGCCGCCACGTCCCCGCGGCGCGGGCTGAGCGCCCGGGGAGTCGGGCCGGGAGCGGCCGCCCACGCTCCGCGCCCACCCAGCAGCGCGGCGGGCGCCCGGCCGGAGGATGCGCGGCGCGGGGCCCTGAAGCATGGAGGGGGTTCTGTACAAGTGGACCAACTACCTGACAGGTCGGAGCGCGGGGCCCCGGGGGCGGCGGGACAGGCCCGGGCCTGGGCGGCCTGGGCGGGGGCGGGGGGTGCACCTGGCCCGCGGAGACCCTCGCCGACCCCCGCGCCGGGTGCTGCGGGCTGACCCGGCGCCCGGCCCCCGCCCCCCGCCCCCGGGAGCGGGCTCTGCGGGGCTGGCCTCCAGGCCGCGCGCCCCCCCGGGCCCTCGGGTCCCCGCGTCACCCTCCCGGTTTCCTCCCGTAGCTTCCGGGACAGTTTCCAGCCCCGCCGCCCGTGTGGTCGCCGCCTCCACCCACGGCCCCCCTCACTCGGCGCCCCGTGGCCCACGGAGTCGTCCGCCCTGGGGCCGGGGTGGCTCCTCTCAGATCCAGATTCAGTGTTAAGAAATCTCTCCTCTATTTCTTTTTTCTTTTCTTTTCTTTTTTTTCTTTTTAGCACGGTCGTTTAAAAAGTTCCCTGTGGGGGTTGTTAAACTGTTCCCAGATCACGTTCGTTCTCTTTTAGGAGTTGGTTGTCGGATACACCTTTAGGTTTCGGAATCCAGGTAAGTGTGTGAGAAATGGTCGGAGGCCAAGTGCAAATACGCACAAGTGGACCAAGTCAAGGCCGTGTCACCCGGGAAGTGGGTCGGAAGGAAAAATCTCTGAACTTTGGAGTTTTGCAGAAATGAGAGACCAGCAGGGCCGTGCCACCAACAGCCTCGCTCATTAAAAGAGCCTTAATTCCGAGTCCTAGGCTCATCTCTGCCGATGAGCCATCAACCGACACTGAAGACCAGACACTCACCGTCTTAAGATCTCAGTCGTGAAGCACAGGATGAACAGTTCGTTTATCTTGAGGGTCCAGGATTCTGGACCTCGCCACATTACGGGAAAGGAAATGGGCTTAAAATAAGGTTACGTAGCAAACAGATTTCTTGTTCCAGTATAACAGGCGTCTTGACTTGATACCCACTTTCTTACTCTGCCTGGAGTGTTGAGCCCCTTTGTAACTGCATAGTGCACTCAACTTGTGCAAAATCTGCACATAAATACCCTGACCTTGTGCAAAATCTGCACATAAATACTTTAAAGCATAAGCTTGAGCTACAGTTGCCCTTCCTTCCTTCCTTCCTTCCTTCCTTCCTTCCTTCCTTCCTTCCTTCCTTCCTTCCTTCCTATCACTCTCTCTTTCCAATTAATTGGAATGCTAAAGCCTGATTTGTAGCAGCAAATGCTTTGGCATTTATGATACGTGCATGTTTTGTTTTGCTCAACCATAAAACGTAAAACACTTAGTTTCTAGAAATAACACGTTTTAGTGGGAAATGTTTAGAAAACGAGGTATTTTTTCCTTAAGCATTTTCCTTTGGGCAGTTGTGAGAACAGTTATGCTGTTTAGTTGAGATACGGTATTAACTTTAAAGATAGTGGTTTCCATGCTTTGAAATGCAAATGATCGTCTCACTGCAAATATTCATAAGCATAGTGTCTACAGTGTCTTGGGAGGAACCGCTTATGCCTAGCCTAGAGCAATGGGTGATTACTGAGATGAGTCACAATTTATTCCTGGAGCCAAATGTCTTGGTGGCCATCTTTCTCATCTGGGGCACTGAACACCAGCTGGTTGAGCTTTTAACTACATGTGCTTAAGCTTTTAGTCTTTGCAGAGCATTTAAGCAAACTGCTAGTATGCATTGTAGAAGCTTGCTGAAATGAAATCTTTGGTTTGAAAGAATTCCACTTTAAAAATATAAATTTGACTCAGTGGCACGCCGATTATTAATTTTAGTTCATCTTAGGTCAGAAGAATGAGCAGCTCTTCATACTGAATGATCCTGAAGGAACCTTTCAGTTTCGTGATAGTGTTGAGAATCCTTTGTAGAGAATAAGGATTTCAGTAACATTGAAGATAAAAAGACAGTGTTCTTTTTTTTTTAAAAGAATGCCTATGAATCTTTCACATATAGCCCTCTATTATATACCTGTATGAATCATTTAGATTGTTTTAATTAAATATGTCTTTGAAAAGGTGTGTAGAGATAACAGTCTTAATTATTTTAATATATTTCCCCATGGTCACCTTTCAAGTTGCTACAAATTCTAAATGAGTCATTTTGCTCGTTATTTGTTTTAAAGCAATGTTGAATCACAATAATGAGGGTTTACAAAATCATAATTTGTCTTATAGGCACACTACATCTGGGGTGGAGTGTACTTTTACCACTGCTTGTAATTTGTTTGCCGGTGGTGAATTAGTGTTTGGAAAGATAATGTTTTCATCATTTCTCCGTGTGCTCCATATTACAATATACTTTCATGGAATATGCAGCATATCTTTACTCTCATGGATAACATGCATTATCTCATTTTTCTGGTATTTAATCACTCATTTGATTGAGATATACATTTTTTTTTTTTTAGCACCTGTTATGTACCAGGCACCATTCTAGGTGCTGGGAATGCAACGACAGACCAGATAAAGCTCCTGTACCAAAAGAACTTACCTTTTAATTTGATAGGCCTCATTAGGGGTTATAGTGTTTCATAGTAAGATTTTTCCAAGTGTTTGAAACGTATTTTAATTATTTTAGATGCCCATCTTTCTGAACTATATTATGACATTCCGTCTTGTAAAATTTAACCTCTTTATGATGACTCGATGCTGTCATTTCAAAAGTGTTACAGGAAAAGCCATTTGGGGAGATAAGTCCTGGGTCTGTATTAGGATGTAAGAATGAATCTCCCATCTGCCACTGTCTTGCTACTATTTGGCCCTGGAGAAACTGAATTAAGCATATCGCAGGCCATGTCTAATGTGAGCAGGCCAAATTGTGATTTAATAGTTACAGAAAGAACAAGGACAGTCACCCTGTCTTCTGTGAGGTACTGTGGGAAGAGTCCACTGTGTTATTAATCAATGAAGTGTTGTAAGTTAGTAGCACGCGTGTTAAGATTTTAGGGAACACTGAGTTTGGCTTGCAAGAGTGGCAGTTGAACTCTGGGGAAAGCCATCAACCTTGTCCTCAGGTTTGCTTTAGAGCCAAGTCTATGACAGTTGTGTAATCTAGTCCCTGAATAAACACAACTGAAATGAATGATCGCAGTTTCTAGCATTTGTGCCTGAGCTGTGGAGCAGCAGGGCAAGGAGAGAGGGATTGTGGGGAGTCCATGTTCTCACACAGAGTATGCATCTTCCGTGGAAGAGGCTGGAATTCATTCAGCACTTGCTTGTGCACGGGAGTTTGCTTAGGCAACGTGGAAGAGGGGTCACATGGCAGAATTAAAGGTCTGGGTCGCTGGCACCTGAGAGGTCATCTTGTTCAATCTGCTCATTACAGAGACTGAGAATTTTTGCTATTTGTTGAAATGAAAAGATTTGTTTCAGCTTATCTAACTAAAGAGTGAGACTAGAGCTGGGGCTGGAATCTGCATTTCTGTTGCTTTTTCCATTACATTGAAACACAACTCTGTTCCCTTCAGGAAAAGGGGCGTAGTCATGTTTTGCCCTGTGTAGGGTTATTACTGAGGATGGGTCTCATGGGTTGTTAATGAGAAGGTTGTGAGCCAGAATAAAGGCATTACTCCCTATATTTTTGCTGATCTGTAGATTTCTGCAGAAGTGGGATTAAGGCAAGAACGTTTTGGGTGAGCGTTGGCCATGAAAAATTTCATTGTCAGAATGTTACTTTTAGAGCCAAGAAAACATGGGTGGCAGATTTTGAAACCATAGTTTTCTATGTGATTAAAGTCATTTCTTAGTAATCTTTTGTTATTTATAATCTTTGTAGGTTGGCAGCCTCGTTGGTTTGTTTTAGATAATGGAATCCTTTCCTACTATGATTCACAAGATGATGTTTGCAAAGGGAGCAAAGGAAGTATAAAGATGGCAGTTTGTGAAATTAAAGGTAAGCGAATTCGTGGAATTAGAGAAATTTGAAGTTAGGTAAGTAAAATGTTCTTCATTGTAATCCAAAAAGAGGGAAAAAAGGATTTCTAGTCCAGTAGGGATCTTCTAATACCATTTATTTCCTTAGTAATTAAGAGTGGCACTTAGCATTGTTAAGCACAGTTTTTTTGCATTTCTCCTTTTATACATGTACTTTGAGTTGAAATTGAAAATCTTAGTGTTAGTCTTCCAATTTGGACCTGAAAAACAGTTTCTTATGGATGCTACTTCAGTGTCCATACTGAGTTCACAAGTGTAGTCTTTCATTCTCATTATAAAGGTGCTATGAAGATTAGAAAACTGAGCTCTAAAGATGAAGAGGCAGGGCACCTGGCTGGCTCAGTCGGGAGAGCATGCAACTCTTGATCCTGGGGTCAGGAGTTCAGGCCCCATGTTAGGCATAGAGCTTATTTAAAAAAAAGAAAGTGGAAGATAATGAGGCAAGCTCTGTAGGGTTTTCATAAAACATGAAGTCAGAGTCATAAACTCTGGTTCTTTGCTGAATTGGAGATAAGCTTTTCTGGGTGATGTCGATATTTTCCTTTTCTTGCAAAGGAGAAGAGATAAAGCAGTAGGTCATGCTATAATTTTCGTTATGGAAGTTTTCATGGACCATTGATTCATTTGTCTGTGTGGTTGGGTTGTGTGGAGTGGAGGTAGGTAGGAGAGATCAGATAAGATGATAATGGAAAGTATTGAATTCTTCAGGGCATTGAAGGAAGAAAGCACTAGAGGAGTGACTATCAAACACCAACAGGCCTTTTTTTGTTTTTCCTCTGTAGCTTGAATACTTGTCCTTCCTGAAGGGTACTTCCTTTGACGTGGTGAGCTCTTGGTCAGAGCTATCAAATACTTCAGAGTAACCTTACCGCTCTGTGCATTTTCTTATTTATGTTAAACCAAAGCAGCAACTAATGCGTTAATGTACATTTTCTAGGGCTGGATTGCTAAATTTGTATGGTTTTGTGGTAGTTCTTAGTATGATTTAGCCATGGAGACAAAATAGAATTTTCTTGCTTGCTACATATCTGGCTCTTCACATTCATGCAAGACTTGTTAACTACTGGGGCTCTTTCACCAGCAGTGATTCATAGCTCAGGGTAGATCAGTGTCTCCAGGGTGCTTTCTCCAAGATGCGCACGTCTGCCAAGTGATTGTAACACGCTCATGTTAGTTGAGAATTACTTCTTTTCTAATGGAAGGAAGTCATGGCTGTCTAAGATATAGAAACACTTCAGCCTAGTGTATTGTTATTGTGTCTTCCCTGAAATATATGCGGTATAGTTTTGTTGTTTATTTTTATTTTTATTTCCTTATTTATTTTATTTTTTTAAAAGATTTTATTTATTCATGAGAGACACACAGAGACAGACAGACAGACAGACAAACACAGGAGAGGGAGAAGCAGGGAGCCCGATGTGGGACATGATTCCAGGTCTCCAGGGTCAGGCCCCGGGGCCGAAGGTGGTGCTAAAGGGCACCTGGGCTGTCCTTGTTGTTTATTTTTTAACAAATATACCAAAATGTGTGCCAGTAGGTGTTGGCTTTCCAGGTACTCATTTTTGATGTACTTTTTTTTTTTAAATTTATGATAGTCACAGAGAGAGAGAGAGAGAGAGGCAGAGACATAGAGGGAGAAGCAGGCTCCATGCACCGGGAGCCCGATGTGGGATTCGATCCTGGGTCTCCAGGATCGCGCCCTGGGCCAAAGGCAGGCGTCAAACCGCTGCGCCACCCAGGGATCCCTGATGTACTTATTTTTAATTGCACCACCATCACCCGTAACACTTTAGAGCTCTTCTTAGAATTGCCTTATGAACCAGTCGATAAATCCCACAGGAAAAGCACAAAGGATGAGTTTTTATTTATTTTTTAATGGTTTTATCTCGTTTTATACCCCAGGTTTGATTCCAAATGATACTTATTAGGAATCAAAAAATCAAACTACAAAGTTCAAAGATTTGCCACTCTTGCGGATATTTAAAAGATTTAGTGGCAGAAGCCTAAGGCAATTCTAAAATGTTTCAAGCTATGGGAGCATTTTTACTTTTGTTGTTTGTTTCAAGTAATCATTCTATTCAAGAATAACATACAGAGAAAAAAAAAAGAATAACATACAGAAAACGGAACATATCTTAAATATTCAGCTTGAAGAATGTTTACAAAGCACACACACTTGTGTAACCAGCAATCTGTTTAAGAATTAGAATATAATCAGCATCCCAGATGCTGGGATATTATCATGTCTCCTCAGCCACTAATCCCTCTAAAAAGTAACTATTAATCTGACTTGTATCACCATCGATAAATATTGTCTATTTTGAACATTTTATAAATGGAATAAATCAGTATTTTTGGGTGTGTGTTGGCTTCTTTGAGCAACATTGTGACGTTCACCCATATTTTCTGTGTAATAGAAATTCAGTCATTGTTACTGATTTGTAGTATTTCTGCTATGAATATCCTACAATTTGCCTTCCATTCTAGTATTGATGTATATATATATTTTTCCATGTGGGATTATGAGTAAAGCTGCCACTAAGACTTTTTTTTCTTCTTTTAAGATTTTATTTATTCATTCATGATAGACAGAGAGAGAGAGAGAGAGAGAGAGAGAGAGAGAGAGGGGCAGAGACACAGGCAGAGGGAGAAGCAGGCTCCACGCAGGGAGCCTGATGGGGGACTCGATCCCCGGACTCCAGGATCACACCCTGGGCTGAAGGCGGCGCTAAACCGCTGGGCCACTGGGGCTTCCCTGCCACTAAGATTCTTATATATTTCTTTTGTTGAACACGTGTATGCCATTTCTCTTCAGTATATGTCTGGCAGTGAAGTGGGATTGCTGAGGCATTGGGTATTCCTATGTTAGGTTTAGCAGAATTAAGGAGAAAATGATTCTTGACGCCTGTTAGTAAGGCTGACTTTATTCAGTCTCTCACGATAGGTATAGGGACTACTTCAGTGGGGTTTTGTAGTGGGGGAGAGAGATTGGGTTCAACTCCAAATACGATAAGGAAAAGTGGGAATTTGTAACTAAGGAGCCAAGTGGAGGGATTGGTAGATGGAAAATTGCTAAGAGGAAACATCAGGGATTAGGGGGCATTCTGGTTAAACTGACCCCCAGGATTCTTGCTGAAGGCAGGCAGGGTGATCACACATTACCCGGGGGATGTTGGTGGTAGAGGAATTTGTTCAGACATGAGGCTAATCAGATACTGACGGTAGAGGATTCTGGCTAGATAGACTTAGGAGAATTCTTGCTAACATTGGGCTCTACAGGGATAGAGATGGAAGTCCAAGGTCAGGCCTAGTCAAGCAGAGGGCTCCAAGGAACCTGACTGAGGTTTGATCAGGGAGAGAATCTTTGTCACAGATGATGCCAAATTGTTTACTAAAGTGGTTGTACCAATTTATTCTTGAACTAGCAGAGTATGAAAGTTCCAGTTGCTTTGCGTCCTTGCCAAAATTTGCATTATCAATTTGAAGATTTTGAATATTTCTAGTGTGTATAGTAGTATCTATCTCATGGTGGTCTTAACTTGTATGTCTTCAATACCTACTGATCGGTTTTTTTTTCTTGATATTAATTAGCCATATGAATATTCTTCTCTTTTGGAGTCCCTAGTCAGGTGTTTGACTTAATTTCTAAATTGGGCTTTCATGTTGATTTGTAGGAGTTTTTTATATAGTCCAAATGACTCTCTGTGTTGTATCTTCTTCCAATTTAGTATTTTCTTTCTATTAAAGGTATTGTTTGATAAACAGAAGTTCTTAATTTTAATAAAGTCCAGTTTTTCAGTTTTTTAAATTAGAATTTTTTATGTCCTTAGGAATTCTTTTTTCTTCTTGAAGGCTTATTGTTTTACCTTGTATACTTAAGTCCTTGATACTTAAGACTTTATTTTTTTTATTTAGAGACTTAGAGAGAGAGAGAGAAACAGGCAGAGGGAGAGGCAGGCTCCATGCAGGGAGTCGGACGTGGGACTCGATCCCGGGTCTCCAGGATCACGCCCTGGGTGGAAGGCAGCACTAAACTGCTGAGCCACTGGGGCTGCCCTGTGATTGACTTAAAATTTACTTTTATATACAGTATCAGCATGGGTTAAGATTAATATATTTTTTAAGATTTTTATTTATTTATTCATGAGAGACAGAGAGAGAGAGAGAGAGAGAGAGAGAGAGGCAGAGACACAGGCAGAGGGAGAAGCAGGCTCCATGCAGGGAGCCCGATGCGGGACTTGATCCCGGGACCTCCAGGATCATGCCCTGGGCCGTAGGCAGATGCTAAACTGCTGAGCCATCCAGGGATCCCCAAGATTAATTTTTTTTAGAGGGATATTCAGTTGACTGAGTATCAATTATGGACAACAGCAGCCTTTCACCTAATTCACTGTAGGAACATCTTTGTCACAGAGTGAGTGACTGTGTGCATTAGGCCATTTTCTGGACTGTTTTTTGTTCCAAGGGCCTACTTTTCCATCCTTTTGCCGATATCACAGTCTTAATTTGTTTAGTTCTATACTTCTTAGTATCTGATAGTCTAAGTCTTCTAACTTTGTTCTTTTTCAGGTTGTCTTGGCTATTATTGATTGACTCTTTGCATTTCCTTAACACATATTAGAATCTACTTGTAAATTTCCATAAATGTCTGCTGGACTTCTGACTGGAATTGTATTGAATCTATACATTAATTTGGGGAGAATTGTGTGTTCTTGACAATATTGAGTCTTATAATCTATTAACATGGTATATTCCTGTATTTAATGGGGTTTTAAATTTCAGTATTTTACAGTTTTGCATATAGAGGTCTTGTCCATTTTATGCTAAGAACTTGATGTTTTGGGAGCCTTGTTCTCAAGTTTATTGTCTTCTCAGATGACAACTGTGAATGGGATATCCTTAGATTATTACACCAATTTTGGTATATTTAAAAAGGAGTCATCTTCAAGTGCCTGGATGGCTAAGTTGGTGGAGCGTGTGACTCTTGATCTCAGGGTTGTGAGTTCAAGCCCCACACTGGGCATAGAGCCTACTTAAAAAAAAAAAGAGGAGTCATCTTATTTTCATTTGTAGCAATAATCATTAGAAATCAGAGCTTTGTTTTCTTTTGAGGTAGCTATTGGTGCTTTCACTGGTATTAACAAGTAGCCAAACGAGGGTTACTCTTGGAGCCTGGGGATTTCAGTAGTTCTATCCTAGCTTGGAAATCTTTTGCACCCATCACTGATTGTTGCATGTTTATATATTTCATTATCTACATCCAAGGTTGGCCTTTATAAGTAGAATAATAAGCTAGCAAAGCTTTTGTGGCACTATTTGCCATAGGACATCTGGTCAATATTTTCAGTAATTAATCATATAAATTAGGACTTGTACCAGACTTTCAGGGCCCCTGAAGATTTGGCTCAACTCAGCTTGTCCATTCATGAATATCATTACCATGTTGTCTTCTTGGTACATGTTATATTTACTTCCTCATCTAGGCCTTTTTAAATGCAGTTTCTCTCTTACCTAAATCGTACTATTGTCAAATCCTTCTTCCTGAAGCCTTAGTTCCTACCTCTTCTTACTTTCATTTTACTTACACATGATGTCTGTGTACTAAAGAGTTTATCATTTAGTTATTTTGATTACTTTTGGTGTGTCAGTTTGTTTCCCTGGTTAAATTGTCAGGTCTGTTAGAGCAAAGACTCCTTTCTTTCTCCTCTCCTCTCTTCTCCTTCTACCAGGCACTCCTCTGAGCTGAGTAAACGATTGTTGATTAAGGACAATGTAAGACAAATTTAGTGTTACAACAAAGATTGAGGATGGCTCAGTATAATTCTTGATTAGTTCTCTTTTGTCAGAGTATTGGGGCAGGGGGTAGTCTAGGAGAGGAGGAGGAGGAGAACACTCCAAAATACTCTCTTATGATGTGCCCCTTAGTTGAGGACTACTGTGCTAATGGTGGCCATAGGTACCATTTATTGTGCTGCTTCTGAATGTCAGGCACTGTCCTAGGCTTGGGGGGATACTGAAATGCAGACTTTGCTTTCAAAGAAATCAGTAAGAAATTTGTGATAAGAGGCATCTGGGTGGCTCAGTTGGTTAAGCGTCTGGCTTTGGCTCAGGTCATGATCTCAGGGTCCTGGGATTGAGCCCCATGTCAGGCTCCCTGCTCAGTGGGGAGTCTGCTTCTCCCTCTCCCTCTATCCCTCCTCTCTGCTTGTAGTCTCTCTCAAATAAATAAATAAATAAATAATATATGTGTGTGTGTGTGTGTGTGTGTGTATATATATATATTTATATGAAGTGTGATAAGTGTGACAATATCTGTGTATTTAAAGTAGTACAGACAGCCCCAAGAGAGGGAGCATTTGGCTTTCATTGCTGTTTTCTTTTTCTCTTGCCACCACCGCTTTGGCACCACTGTTATATGTAAAAATGTGGTTTTGAAGGTGCCACTAGATAGCGCCATAGGGAGAGGCAATGCCTGCATCCTGAAGCTCAACTTCTTGTTTTAGGTGTCTGAAATCTCTAATACTGTAAGAGTGATTGTTTGATTTGCTCCAAATTACTTAAGTTTATGACTGTATTTCTCCTGTGTTCATCATCATAGTCCATTCAGCAGACAACACCAGAATGGAATTAATCATTCCAGGAGAGCAGCATTTCTACATGAAGGCAGTGAACGCAGCTGAAAGACAGAGGTGGCTGGTTGCTCTGGGGAGCTCCAAAGCCTGTTTGACTGATACTAGGACTAAAAAAGAAAAAGGTAAATGGAATTTTTTCTTTGAAATAAGCAAGAATTTTTTTTTTTAGAATATTTTCTTAGACACAAATGTAAATTGTCCTGTCCACTACTTTTAACAATCTATCCTAAAGAGATAATTAGAAATGTAGAAGATAATATACATGCATAGATATTCATCATAGTAAACAAATTTATAAACAATGCAAAGGTTTAAATTTAGGGGAATGGTTCAATAAACTATAGGTTGATATAAGCTGATATGTAGCCAGTTAAATGTTTACAAGGAATTTTAATAATGTGAAAAAATGCCCAACATTAAATGATAATTGCAAAAAAGCAGGATTCAAAATTACCTATCCATTCATTTGGCCAGCTCAGGAAAGATGCATAAAATTGGTCAAGTTGTTACCTTTGGAAGGGTAATTTGTGGGAAGGAGACTTACTTTTCACTATATATACCCTTTGGTACCTTTGACTTTATCATGTTCATATATATTTGCCAATTCAAATGGATTGAATAAAAATCAAAATCAGAGCAAATAATTTATGGTATTGGTTCAGTCATATGCAGATATAATGTGAAAATACTACAGTATTTATAGGGGTGCCTAAATGGCTCCATTGGTTAAGCGTCTGCCTTCTGCTCAGGTCATGATTCCAGGGTCCTGGGATGAGCCTTGCATTGGGCTCCCTGTTCAGCAGAGTCTCCTTCTCCCTTTCTCTCTGCCCCTGCTCCCACTCATGTGCTCTCTCCACCCCCACCTCTCTTTCTCAGGTAAATCAATGAAATCTTTAAAAAGAAAAAAATTATATTTTGATAGTGAGTTTGTAGTTATTTGGTTTTTCTTTTTTATAGTTTTTTGATTTTCCAAAAATTTTCATTGAGAATATATTACTTTTATAATTAAAAGCTAGTAGAAGTTAGATTACTGAAAACAACTAAATTATGGGTATTGAAAAATGAAGGCCCCGAACTAAATTTAGAATCATTTAAAAATATATGAAAGAACATCATGGGTAGCGTGTGGCTAAGGTTAGGATAAGAAGGAATGGAAATTCACAATAGTCAAAAGGTGGAAATAACCCAAATGTCCATAGACAAAGAGATAAACAAAATGTAGTATTATATATACAATGGAATATTATTCAGCCTTTGAAAGGAAGGAAATTCAGACACATGCTACCAAATGGGTGGATCTTGAAAACTAAGTGAAATAAGCTGGTCACAAAAGGACAAATATTACATGATTGCACCTCCTGGGATACCTAGAATAGTCAGATTTATAGAGACAGAAGGTACAGTAATGGTTGACAGGGGCCAGGGGGTAGGGGGGAAGGGGCTTTATTGTTGAATGGGTGTCAAGTTTTACTTTGGAAAGATGAAAAGGTTCTGGAGATGGATGATGGTAATGGTTGTAGGACATTGTGAATGTACTTAATGTCCCTCAACTATCTACTTAAAAATGGTTAAAACAGTAGATTTTATTATGTGTATTGTACTACAATTAAAAAAAAGAAGGAATGGACTTAAATTTGAGTAGAAGTTAATTTAGGTTAGGTCAAATGGGCAGATAAAGCTTGTTTGGTCCACTGTGGCTAGAGCTACGTAGTGCCTGGTATCATAAAGCAGTGCCACTGATTCATGGTATATAGAGAAATGCCAGGATCTACTATGTGTATTTTCCCCTGCTTCCTCTGCTGTTTATAGTGCTAGTTTAGAAGGTACTGGCCAGTGAATGGCTGAGATTAGGGCTGGATTTTTTTTTAATTATTTATTTATTCATGAGAGACACAGAGAGAGAGAGAGAGAGAGAGAGAGAGAGAGGCAGAGACACAGGCAGAGGGAGAAGCAGGCTCCATGCAGGGAGCCCGACGTGGGACTCGATCCCGGGACTCCAGGATCACGCCCTGGGCTGAAGGCGGCCCTAAACCGCTGAGCCACCCCGGCTGCCCAAGGGCTGGATGTTTAGTGTATCTGGACATATTAAGGAAAAGAAGGTAAACTCTTAACAAACCAATTCTGAAAATAATAAAATGTGAAAACAAAGTTATGAGAGGAACAGAAGAAAATAGATGTTTATATACAGTGGTTTTAACTATGTAAAAATTGGAAAACTTCTACATGTCAAAATGCACAATAAAGCAAACCGAAAGAGAGCAGATAGATCTGGAAAAGCACTAGCAGTATATAGGACAGGGGAAGGATTGCTCTCTTCAATGTGTAAGAACTTTTCTAAATTATTAATTAGCATATTATTAAAATCGAACATCAGAACTGGAAAAATATGTAAAGGACAGAGAAGACAATTTACAAAAAAAGAAATATAAGCACTTTTAAAATGAAAGATGAGTGATGGAATGGGAATATCCTATATAAAACATCCAGTTTTGGGATCCCTGGGTGGCGCTGCAGTTTGGCGCCTGCCTTTGGCCCAGGGCGCGATCCTGGAGACCCGGGATCGAATCCCACATCGGGCTCCCAGTGCATGGAGCCTGCTTCTCCCTCTTCCTGTGTCTCTGCCTCTCTCTCTCTCTCTCTCTCTCTCTCTCTCTCTCTCTCTCTCTCTGTGACTATCATAAATAAATAAAAAAATTTAAAATAAAATAAAATTCTTTAAAAAAAAAAAAAAAAAAAAAAACATCCAGTTTTGGGGGCACCTGCGTGGCTCAGTTGGTTAAGTGACTGACTCTCAATTTCAGCTCAGGTAATGATCTCAGGGCTGTGAGATGGAGCCCCGAGTCACGTCAGACTCCATGCTCAGTGTAGCGTCTACTTGGGATTCTCTCTCCCTCTGTCTCTCTCCCCACTTGTGTGTTCACTTGCTCTCTCTCTCTCAAAATAAAATCTTAAAAAAAAATCCAGTAGTCATCACCCTGCCTCTGGAAATTAATCTACCTAAACCTCATGCCAGACATATGACTCCTATTTTTTTTTCCCAATTATTTGAAGAGAAGGTATTTCTTCAAGGCCCTTGTAACCTACTTCCAAGGGCTCCCACCTCTTAAGCTTTGGGTATTTCTATCCATCGCCTTACTTTTTAAATGATTCTGTTTGTTTTATTGCTCAAAAAATATGAAAGCAATCTCTAACTGAATGTTTATATATGTTCCTTTCAGAAATAAGTGAAACCAGTGAATCTCTGAAAACCAAAATGTCTGAACTTCGCCTCTACTGTGATCTCCTAATGCAGCAAGTTCATACTATCCAAGAATTTGTTCACCATGATGAGAATCATTCATCGCTCAGCGTGGAGGTATACAAAAATGATCCCTTCATGTCCGGTTATGCTTTGTAATACACTGGAGGCTGAGGTTCTTCCCATAGGGTGATAGAGAAGCGGTTTCAAAATGAGCTGTTTTTTAGCTTTTCTGGTCTGTCCCTACTATAAGGATTCTGGATATCTGTAGGATCTTCTAGATGGTATCTGTGCAACCAGTGTAAAGCTGGAAGCAGCACATTTCCACATTTCTCTAGGGAATCAAGGCTTATTTTTGTAGCCACTTTGATGATTTGGAGGTTGGGGTGGGGAAGAAGCGTTCTAGGCTTACTTTCTGGGCTAGCTGCAGGAATCATTGCACAACTGCTCCTCTCCTTCTAAGGTCCCAGTTTCAGTGACTGAGAGTTGATAATTTAGCTTTTATCAAATAACTTTTTAAAAAAGTACTCAGGACAGTAATACAGGAATCAGGTGTCAGATTTGTGGGCCTGGCTATGATATAGGCTCACACTTTCGGATAAAGGAGGATCAGTGGGCCCTGCTGTTCTCTGGTTGAGAGGTTGGCATGGTTCCCAGTCCCCTTTTACCTAACTTGGGAGAAATGGGACAAGAAATCTTCCTACCTCTCCTGTGGCCTTCTCCTGGTGGGGAGCAATCTAATGTGAGGTCACCTTTAGTTGCAGGCACATTAAACCCTAAGGCCATTTCCTGTTTCATCACAAGCTCTTCAGAGGTAGATGTCCTCACATTTGCTCCTGCTGCTCAGTGACAGTATCAAGGACCTGGGCTTGTTCTGTCCTTCCACTCTGCCATTCTTGGTGTATTTGATTTTTCCCTTTATGCCCAAGGTGTTGGGGTGAAGACCAAGGTCACACAGATACAGGAGGCAGTTAGAGGTAACCGATGTGGAAAGAGATCTTCTCAACTTGCTGTCCTGGGTTTTATCCAGTAACAAAAAGTCTCAGCAACTCCTCGGCAGACTTCACATCTCTTTTGTCTGGGTCAAAGGAAACTAAGATACCAATATTTGACCCAGGGTCATGGAATAGCCATGACTGGCTTAGACCAGTCCATATTCATCCCCCAGGGTCAGGACACATTACTGTCATTAAAAAAATAGTGTGGGGTTTGTATCTTACCAAGGAAAGGGTATATATGAATTGTGCCTGCCTCTAAGTAACTCTCAGGGTGTTCCACTGCTGTGACCACCCTCAGAATTTTGATACTTATTAGAAAATTACTGTTTGGGTTAGGTCATGTACATTGTTGTACATAGTTTTTCAATATGATTCATATTTGGTTTAAATGCAAAAACTTCATTTTTCTTGGAAATGAATTTCATACATTGCTTGATAGACATTTCTTCTTCATGTATTGCTTTAATTTTCTGAGGTAGTTTATTTTAACTAGATTTGCACTAACCTAGTAAGGTGTCTGTTGGAGATAACGTTTAGTCACTTGATTGTAATGTGGTGCGTGGTTGCATATAGCTGTGTGTGGGTCTGTTTAACTCAGTGTGTAATTTTTCAGAACATGAATGAAGCCTCTTCTCTGCTTAGTGCCACATGTAATACATTCATCACAACCCTTGAGGAATGTGTGAAGATAGCGAATGCCAAGTTTAAACCTGAGATGTTTCAGCTGTCCCATCCGGATCCCTTGGTTTCTCCTGTGTCACCTTCTCCTGTTCAAATGGTTGGAACTTGTTTTTCTTCCAGTGATGTTGCATGTTTGTTTTTGGTTTTGGTTTTGTTTTTAAGGGAGGAAAGTGGCAATGGGAGGGAAATAATCAACAGATGGAACTTTTTTTTTTTAAAGATTTTATTTATTTATTCATGAGAGACATAGAGGCATACAGGTAGAGGGAGAAGCAGGCTCCATGTGGGACTCGATCCCAGGACTCCAGGATCACACCCCGGGCAGAAGGCAGGGGCCAAACCGCTGAGCCACCCAGGGATCCCCCAACAGATGGAACTTTTTAAAGGTTGTACTCATGTTCTTTTTGGAGGCTTTCCACTTTTTGGACTCAGCATGTGCCACGGTTCTGATCGCCTCCACTTGGAGGACTGTGCCGTTTACCCCAGTGTGCCAGGAAAATATTATGCTCCATGGGTATTGTGACATGGAAAAGGTTGGGGGCACTGCTCTACTTGGAAAACATCACAGAGGGGTGGTGTTTTACCCACAAAACAATAAAATTAGGCAAGTCATAAAGGAGTTGTAGGGGGTTTGAAGCAACATGTTATAGGGAAAACAGTATTTTGTAGTCAGTATTTGGATTTGAGCCCTTCTGAGTAGGCAAGTTACTGAATCTTTCTGGACCCCATTTTCTTCATCTGTAAAATAAAGTCTTTTCCATCAGCAGGTCAATGCAAAAGGGCTGACCAATTTAATACAGGTGCTTTGTGTTAGTTTCTTTCCTTCTGATTGCCCTGAACAAGTACCCTTTGCTGGGGGCAGTGGACTAGTTGTCCTTCCCAAGCTAATAAACTTGCTCAGGCAAACTGTGCAGAACTGTAGGTGAGACAGAGTTCGATGAGACTTTACATTTTTTTCATCTAAGTGTTTTCAGGAGCCCTTTTATAAAAGGAAGAATGCTACCTGGCTACTATTTTTAGCGATTACTTGAAGGCTTATTTGTTAGAAGAAAGAATAGGGTACAACTTATTCCTAGGTGCTTGTATCCACCCCAGCCTATTTAAGCTATTTGAGATTAAGTAAAAATCATCACCTTAATTAACTGATTTTAAAAGATTTTTTTTTTTATTAGAACAGGGAACATGAGTGGGGAGGGGGGCCAGAGGGAGAGGCAGACGTGGGGCTCCATCCCAGGAAGGCAGACGCTTAATCAAGTGGTCCATCCAGGTGCTTCTATCCTACAGAGCATTTGTAACAGAAGGCATTTTCCTTAGAAATTCAATACAAAAATGAGATAGCTTTGAGGTGGTTTTATTGCATTTCACTCTATAAAGTCAACTATAGTGTCTGTAATAAAAACTAAAAAACAGTGTAGCCCTTATATATCAACCTCAGGAACATAACTCCCAACACACATCTAGGGCCATACCATCCTGAATATGCCCAACATAGGAACATAACACCATATATATACATCCGTCTCAAAAGATCTTTTCTTATTCAACCATAGAGGCTATTCCCTAATCCTAACCCTATTTAACAGTATAACATATCTACAATTATTTTATAAATAATTGTATTGTCAAATTGTTCTACTGAACACTACAGTCCTGCGAGATGTTATTAAAAATATGCAAGAAGGGTTGTCAAATAAGTTTTAAAAACAATGCACAGCACTTCTTTTCAAAGATTCATGATACTTGTTAGTATAAAAGAAGTTCTAGGAAGGCCTATGACAGAGAAACCCAGTTCATTTAAGTTAACCTAGCACTTCCGAAACTAATAAAACCCATTTTCATACTGTGCTTGGCCCATCATACATTGGTTAGAAAACAGTGATCTCTGTGCTTGTTCTTTCTCTCTCTCTCAAATAAATAAAAAAGTAAAAAATCTTTAACAAACACTCTGTAGTCCAGAGTTCATATATGTATTTTATGTATAAGAAACTGTAATAATTGTGTCTTTTAAACCAAAACCTTTATCAGCAACATTACAAGAAAGTCCAATAACCTAATATGAAAAAGATCAGTTAGAGGTTGCTTATTTTTACTTGTTTTGCCATTTTGCTTCATATATAAAGCAAAAATTGTGGCTTATGATAATTAGTTCTGGAGACACAGTATGGAAAAAAGGTCAGACAGTCTTTTTGGGAATTTTTTTTTTAATAATATGAGTATGAGTAAATTTTTTAATAATATGAATATATGAGTATATGAGAATTCTAAAACTATTTTATTTAAGCTGATTTTTGAATTACTTTATGTAGTTAATCTCACTGTGTACACCTTAGAATAAATTTACATTTTTTTTTCAAATCATAAGGAAAATTCAAACAATTGTCATTTTGTTCCACAGGTTGAGTGATAATTGTAGTGGGGATATAATGTACTTTAGATGGGTGAATAATCCCAAAGGAAGTGACTTCTGTTAAAGGAGATGTTAATGTCCATTTGCATCTTAATGTCAATCATGTAGATGTTCCTGGAATGCAAATTGGCTTCCTTATATCTGTTATCATTTCAGCTGGGATTTCTCAGAGCAACTGGTGGCTCATGTTTGTAAACACAGCAGGCATTTACATAACACAGACGTCAGACTTGGATTTATGAGACCTTTGAGCCCCTGCATATAAAAACAACTATCCTTAGCCCTAGTATAAACTTTGCTTTTCTGCTCCCTTGCTAAACATTGAAATAATCTGTTTTAATTGGGGGCCTCCTTCTATTTTTTTAGTGGAGTAGTTGGATCTTTTAAATTATGTTTAGTATTTGTCATATTTATTAATGCTTTTTTTTAAAAAAGATTTTATTTATTTATTGAGACAGAGAGGAGAGAGAGAGAGAGAGGCAGAGACACAGGCAGAGGGAGAAGCAGGCTCCATGCAGGGAACCCGACTGGGACTCAATCCCGGGTTTCCAGGATCCAAGATCACAGCCCGGGCGGCAGGAGTCGCTAAGCCGCTGAGCCACCCGGGCTGCCCCTTTATTAATGCTTTTAATCAGTTTTTAAAACTTAAAAAAAATATGTTTTAGAGACCTATTTGAGACTTGGTTCTTCTTTCTTTAAAGACTCAAATTATTAATGCCATCTTCCATGAAAACCATACATTAGGACGTCTATGTAACACCTACTGAATAATGGATTATAAAGAGAAGCTTTACTACCAAAGACTCTTTTCTTGGTCTTTAAAAAAAAAGACAGGGAGAGATATTTATTAGAATATTTTCTGACTTGCTAGATACTCCTTTAAATAGTTTTATAGATGGGTTATATACATGTTTTTCATATTTCTATATATGTGCACATACATATATATGATACATGTAAAATATGAAATTTGGTTTTTATTATTGAGAAAAGAACCTAGCATGTTTTTGATATGCATTGAGAAAGTTTCCAACGAATGGTTATTAGGGACAAAGCTTGACATTGTGCTGATAGTGTTGCTTGAGTATGTAAGAAATAAATTTCTTGGCCAGTCATCTTTTCCTCTGAGCAGATTTCTGTTAATTATGATAGCGGATAATAAATTAGAGCTGCATTATTCTACTTGACATATGGATCATGCTCATTTTCTTTTTAAATTTCTAGATGAAGCGTTCTGTTAGCCATCCTGGTTCCTGCAGTTCAGAGAGGTAAAATAATCTTTCCTTTTAACCAAGTTCTCTCAAAATCATACCTACTTAGGGCGATTTGGGGGCCTTCAGAAACATCAAGTGGTGTGGGATGGAAACTTTCTGAGCAGGGCCTGGTTCTGATTTGCTTAGCATTCTACCGAAGTGTAGGTCCTGGCCCTCGTAGGTCGTCAGTGAAGATAAAACAAGTGAATAAATTAACCAGCAAGGTAAGCGCCTTGCCAACTATTGTACTTTTTATTGGTGTTTGATATATCAAATTATGGTTAGTAGAAATCCATTTTTGAGGTATCAAGGGCCCAAAGTTTAGGCTCACTTTACAACAGGTGTGTTTTTTTTTTTTTTAATATTTTATTTATTTATTAATGACAGACACAGAGAGAGAGGCAGAGACATAGGCAGAGGGAGAAGCAGCTCCATACAGGGAGCCCGATCACACCCTGAGCATGAAGGCAGACGCTCAACTGCTAGCCACCCAGGCGCCCTACAACAGCTTTTTTGTTATACTCATCCTAATCCGTTGTTTTATGAGGAATTAAAGATCTTACGCAAAGAGAGAAAAACTAATTGATGTTTTAAAGTATATATTCATATCAGCACATTTGAGACATTTACCTTCTAGTAGATGTTGCTGACATCCAAGGCTACTAAAGTGTTCTTTATCTCGGTAGGTAATAGTCTTTCCAGTTGCTCTGATTGTCTTATTTGGTTCTTTGGAAAGTGATGAAATTGTAGTGACATATGCTTTTATTTCTCTACATTAAGAAGAAGTGCTGACTGAGCCTTTACTATTGTCATTCTCCCCTGCACCCCGCCATGATTATGTAATCTCTGAATTATCATGTACTCAGAGGAGCCCAGTGATGTATATATATCCAGTCCTGTCAGGGAATGAAAAGTTTCATTGGTTGAATTTTCTAGAAAAATAGAAGCTTGATCCCTTTTATTAACTTTTATTTTTATGATAGAAATTTTTCTGAACTGTATTTTATCCTTTCTGCCTTATCAAATAAAATACAATTAGAATTTTTTTAAAAAATTACTTATTTGAGAGAGAGAATGAGAGCCCGAGTGTGCAGGGGGGAGGCACAGAGAGAAAGGGAGAAATAGTTTTATCTTAAGCGGACTCTGTGCTGAGCACAGATCCCGATGGGAGGCTTGATCTTACAACCCTGAGATCAGAACCTGAGCTGAAACCAAGAGTCGGACACTTAACCAACTGTGCCACCCAGGTGCCTCAAATATAATTAGAATTTTAATATTACTTTTCTCTTGATGAATCAAGATTGTCATTACGAACAGAAATGTTGGGCTTTCCATACAGTGGTCCTTTGAGTGGTTATGATTTGGTTCTACATTGGATATTTTATTTTTTATTCTATTTTAAAAGATTTTATTTATTCATGTGGATGGGGAGAGAGAGAGAGAGAGAGAGAGAGAGAGAGAGAGAGAGAGAGAGAGAGAGGGGCAGAGGGAGAAGAAGGCTCTATGCAGGGAGCTTGACGTGGGACTCGATTCTGGGTCTCCAGGATCACACCCTGGGCCGAAGGCAGGTGCTCAACCGCTGAGCCATTGGGGCTGCCCTACACTGGATATTTTAGATGGATTTTTCTAGTTTTCTGGTTTCTACAACTTCTTATTCATGTTTTTACTGTTTTACTTATTAATTTATTTGAGAGAGGCGAGAAAATGCAAGCAGAGGGAGGAGCAGAGGGAGAGGGACAAGCAGACTCAGTGCAGAGTGCAGAGCCCAACTGGAGCTCAGTTTCACCACCACCCTGAGATCAGGATCTGAGCTGAAATTGAGAGTGGACGCTTACCTGACTGAGCCTCCCAGGTGCCCCACAGACTGCTTTTACACCAGTGTCTGTAGCCTCCATTTGCCATGTTTATTTGTTCTTGCTGGTGTCAGTGAGTTGACCTCTAGCATGTTCCTAACCTGCTTGCCCCTCCTCTTCTCTCTGTCATTTTTGATAAGATACAGATTGACACTAGATGTACACACTTGTGAAGTCATGACTTAGTTTTCAAACATTTGTTAACAATCCGATCACATCTACTGTCTCGCTGGACCTTCTCTATAAAAGAAGTTGCTTTATTGTACCCCCTTTCCATGTAGTTTGGCTCAGAGGTCATATTCTTCAGGTTACCAGCTGGATTCTAAATGATTTGACTTGCCTGTGGCCTGACGTCTGAAGGAGTAGAATGTTGCTAACATAGAACTTTGGGAATAAAAATAGTTCCTCTTTCATTTGAAGAAGTCATTTAATACATCAGTTAATGGGCACTTGGGTGGCTCAGTTGGTTACGCGTCAGAGTCTTGATTTCGACTCAGGACGTGATCTCGGGGTCATGGGTTGACGTCACGTTTGTGCTGCGTGTAGAGCCTACTGAAGGTTCTCTCTCCCTCTTGGTCTGCCCCTCCCAGCCTAACCCCAGCCCCGACTCACGTGCAGGCAAGGGCACGCTCTCTTAAAAACAAACAAAAAACCCCACTCCAGTTAAATTAAGGGTATTATCATTTGTTTAAGGCCTTACAATGTAATGCTTTTTATTTAATTTGTAGGAGTAGCCACTCTGTAAAAGAACCAGTGTCTACACTTCACCGACTCTCCCAGCGACGCCGAAGAACCTACTCAGATACAGACTCTTGTAATGATAATCCTCTTGAAGACCCAGATAGTAAGTTGAATTGGGGCTCTGTCTCTTTCTTTGGTTAATCTCCAGAATTGTTGACATAAATGAAGGATACTGAGAGTGAACCCTGTACTTCGCCCTTGGAATCATTCCTTAATTTAGACCCAGGCAGACAGCACACAATCAACAACAGCTCGTATTTTCTCTTACAGACACCTTTGTTATTAAGAAGCGGTGACTACCTCCACGTAAATGCCATATCTTTCATTTATGTATATAACATCAAAATGTTTTCTTCCCACTACATTTTAGTAATGTCTTAGTAATGTTCTATTTCCACTATATTTACATTTAAAAAACATTTTAGAAGAAAGCATGAGTTGTGGGTAGGATTCTAGGGGAAAATGAAGGCAAGTTCTAAGTTCAGAGGAAAAAATAAATCAGCATTGTTACTTAAATCATTTGAAATGGCCAAGGAAAAGAATTTCTTCTGGTAGTGGTGGTGAATTATAGTAGCAATTTATTCATGTACCTTTTTTATCCCATTTTCTTTAAAGAGGCGGCAGACCATGATTGAATACTTTAGGAAAGGTTTTGTGTTTGATGTTCAAATTTAGTTATTTTTCTCTTCAGAGAAAAGGCTCTGAAAGTATGTCAGACTATCTAGTTAGATGGTAGTGACCGTGATTTCCAGTAAACATAAATAGAGTCTTACTATTACAACTCTATTAGGAGACTTTTGCTTTTAGCGTCTTTACTGTTGTCCACAAAGCGTGTGTGATAGAAATTACTTACAGTTCCTAGTTAGGGGACAGGTCGCATTCCAAGAATTTGTAAGTCTCTTTGTTTGGAACAAACAAGACTTTTATTTCTCTTCTGGAAATGACATGATAAATGGTGTTTAGATTTCTTTAGGTGGTTTAGAAGAGCTCAGCTAATTCACATTGATTAAGATAGAGTTTTACTGAACCAGAGGTTAAACAGGTTTAATGAGAGGGGAACACAGAGTTCATGAACACAGAGCTGGCCATTTTCAGATTTTTCGAAGGTGAGGGCATCTTTTTGTTGTCCATTTTTCTTACAGAACTATTTATTGATAGAGAGCACTACTTGATGCTCATCCCTATTTTTTAATTTAAGTTGGGACGGTGGGTAAAAAAAGAAAGGAAACGGGATGAGGGTGGGAAGGGGAAGGGAGAAAGAAACTTCCTGGGCCAATTTAGTACAGCTTGGAAGAGATAAGAGGAAGAGGGTTAGAGGTTAGGGGTGGGAAGGAAAGTTACTAGAGGCAGGTATCGTAATTCTGATTTACCTTCTTCCTTCTGCTTGTTTATATGACCCTTTGAATCTAGAGCCCATGAAAGAGTTCTCGATGCCACCGTATACTTTTCTCTAGATGCTACTTCTTTTTACCTTGAGAGGATCATTTACATTAGTGATGGCGAAAATAATTTTTTAAAAACTCCAGCCATTTTCCTTCACTCTCTTTTAAGCACCGTGGTTTTGAATTTTTTTTTTAAGATTTTATTTATTTATTCATGAGAGATACAGAGGGAGAAGCAGGCTCCTCACAGGGAGCCCGACGTGGGACTCGATCCCCAGACTCAGGATCACACCCTGAGCCGAAGGCAGACGCTCAACCACTGAGGCACTGAGGCACCCAGGCGTCCCTGGTTTTGAATTTTTGAAAACAATTTTCATAGGCTTTCGGTGTATATGCCTTACTCCATTTCGCCTTCCCATGTTTGGCTGTTAAAGAGTGTAACAGAACTAGTCACAAATACCTGCACAAACACATGCATACTAGCATACATATTATATACACACAGTATATCCCAGTTCTCTAGAATGTTCTTTAAGTTGGGAAGTGTAGCTAGGTTAGAATTTTTATCCTTAAGTTTCCTTCTGTTTATCCTAACGTTTAGTATCTCAGTTGACAAAGCAGAGATTGAATTAGTGCTCTTCAGTGCTCTTCTTTAGAAACTACATGTTTTGTGGGGCACCTGGGTGGTTCAGTAGTTGAGCATCTGCTTTGGCTCAGGTTGTGATCCCCAGGGTCCTGGGATCGAGTCCTGCATCGGGGTCTGCACAGGGAGCCTGCTTCTCCCTCTGCCTCTGCCTCTGCCTCTCTCCTCTGTGTCTCTCATGAGATACTCAACCACTGAGCCACCCAGGTACCCCAAAACTACTTCTGCTTTTTAATAACTAGATTTTTAAAATTATGGAGGTAGTTAGTGTAAATTTACTAAATTGATACATTGAAATAATATGTACACATAAAAGTGTACTTGTTTTGGAAGGGGCCGTGCCAGCGTGTTTAGCTGTGTTGTTGGAGCTGCAGTGGTAGTTCTGTGAGTTGCATTCCAACTGGAAATAAGAGAACTTTCAGCATGAGATATCTTATCAGCTTTGCTCAGAAAGTCTTCTGATGAAAAGAACAAGACCTGAGTTAGTCTTAGCTCCATTGGCGATTTGTGTGATCTTGGGTTAGACACATAACCTTTTTGGGGTCTTGTTTTTTTTTTTCCCCCTACAAAACAAGGAGGATTCCAACAGCATTAAAAGCATCAGGCTGAAAAAGCAGTAGTTAACTAAAATTACATTCAGTTCAGCGTATATTTATTGACTGCCCATTATGTGCCAAACCTGGTTGTAGCAGTGAACAGAACAAGTAGCTCTCCTTCTGATAGCTTCATAATTTATTTCACTAACGATGAAGTTTCTCCTTATGACTGCCAATAGTAGGAAAGTAAGATTTTTCTCTATTTTTAAAAAAAAAAATTATTTATTTATTCATGAGAGACACACACAGAGAGAGGGGCAGAGACACAGGCAGAGGGAGAAGCAGGCTCCATGCAGGGAGCCCGACGTGGGACTCGATCCCGGGACTCCAGGATCACACCCTGGGCCGAAGGCAGGTGCTTAACCACTGAGCCACTCAAGCGTCCCCTCCTTTTTTTTTTTTTTTTTAAATTAGATTTTTCTCTATTAAGCAAACAACTAAAACATTAATAGGAAGCCAAAGGAATTGGATGTCCCTAAATAGGAAATTTAAAATGGTTTTTCATAGAGAACTGGAGTTAATATCGGTAGGATATTAATAAATAATAAATAAATATTAATTTTAATTAATTTCTTAATAGGACCTGTTCACTGTTCAAGAAATACACTTAATGGAGATTTGGCATCAGCAACCATTCCTGAAGAAAGCAGACTTATGGCCAAAAAAAAATCAGACTCTGAAGATCCTCTTCCATCCTTCTCTTCCTGAGGAAACGGAAGTGTCCAACTTCCTCTAAGTATTGCTATGCAAAAGCTGCTGTAATTAAATTAGGTTATAGGGAGTAGTTTTTTTTCCCTTAGGATTTCTCTGCACTTTATAGAATACTGTAAAACAAACAAACAAAAAACAACCCACATACCTTTGAAGTGTATTTTATCTTTATATAGTTTATTTGCAAGAGTATTTTCCTAATAACTTCACAGTATGAATGTGCATTTTTTTTTAAATAAATGATGGTGTAACATTTTGATCTCCATAAGGACAAATGTAGATATTTTTCTAAAAAAACTGTGAGGGACTGACAGGTAGTCAGTGTGTATTGTAGTTTATAAACATGAAATCTTATAAGGTTTCAGTTTTGACAGAAGTGTGATATATGTAACTTGTGCCATGGACCAAATGGTCACTTTACCCCAGCTAAAAATGAGTTACGATAGCAGCTTGATGGTGATTCTATTGTATTCCTTTGAGCAAAAAGGAGACATTTAATACTCTAAATATTTTTATCCCAAATACCATGACATGATGAGGATTTTTTAAAAACCATACTGTGCTGTCCTTCATATGTGAAGTTGACACTACTGATTTGTCAATACCAAATGTTGGATGAAAGTATTTAACTTTTATTTATTTATTTTTCTGTCGCAGCAAAAAATGATTACATCCTAACTTTTATGACCTACCAAATTTAAGATGTGTATACATTGTTATTTACATTGTTCTAGAAAAGAGGTTAATGTAGTGACGTTGCTCACTTACACCAGAGAAATAAACGCCTTTCAATGGAAGAGGATTTTAGTGCTTTTTTCCTGAAATAGACATTAAGCTGCTGTTGTAAGGTATTAATGTTTGCAGCTCTTTAGACTATCTAGAGACATTTTTTATTTATGACTATTTATATACAAAAAAAGAATTCTGTCAAGATGATTGCTCTACATCACTTGAGAATGGCATTATTTAATTAAAGAACAAATAGCATTTTTTGGTAGTGCCTGTCCATACCTATTGTCAGTGTTTGCCTTGTAAACTGTTTTTTTTTTTTTTTTTTTAATTCACTTTGAAGTGATGGTTTTGTCCAAGGTCTTGGATGAGGAGCACTTTAAAACAAACTGGTTTGGTGTTTTTAAGTTAATCACATGTTTAATAAATATATGGTTTTTGCATTCAAACTCATCATATAATACATTGTATTTTTTACATTGTTGACAGTCTGTCAATTTATCAAGTGCTATTAGTGTTCTTTATTGCTTTGATTTTGTTTGTGTATTTGGACCTCCTAGTGAGTACATAAAGGAGGCATATATTTAGTTTTGTGGCCTATGAGCTTAGACCAGTGCAGCCTATTTCACTTTAAATTTCTCTTAGCGGTTTATGTGGGAAATTTTTTTAGAGACTTAATATTTGGTATTTACTTCACTAAAATAAATCTGTAATTGTAAGTTTAAAATGGACATAAATAATCTAAATACATTAATATGCATTTAGATTAACTGTATGCTACTTAAAAGTCTTTGATTTTAAATAGCACACAGGTCATTAGATTATATGAAGTGGAGTTTTTTTTCTACTCCTATGTTGTACTTCATATGTTTAATTTGAGAAGAGTTTAATAATGTAGTAAGTTTCATGTTGAGTGAGTAATCAAACTTTTTTGCCTTTTTTTTTGTGGTAGTAAGAATTTACGTAGCGATTAGATCATGAAAGTCAAGGTGCTACTGATAGGGAGTTTTTCAGCTACGTTTTTTTTTTTTTTTTTTTTTTTTTGAACCAATAGGTTTATAATGAACTATAATAGGCTTTTGAACTCATAGGAAATAAATCCATTTTTTATTGCTTTATCCAAAAAGATGAGTTCCTGAACAGTTTTCTGTAAATATTTTTTAAAATAAAATACTGTCATTTCTGGGTCGTATCATTTTTTCCCCCTTGAAACAGGTGCTTTGAACAGGTGTGCCATATTCCTAAGTATGGTTTTTATTGTCACTGGGACCTGCTTTTTTTCTCTTTGGGAACCAACACATTTGTGAAATCATTTGAGGGGGGAGCTATAAAGGTATCCTGAATTACATCTAGGTTTTGATGAGTGAATTAACTGATAGCATGAAGCAACCTGTAGGCCTCAGTGAACTTTGCACTTTGAGGAGTCCCATGTATGTTCAGGTATGGCCTGACTTTTCTGAATTTTAAGAAAAAGCTAAACCAAGTAATAATAAGCCTGTAAGAATTTGAGCTTGTCAGAATTCTCTGTAATGTACAGGTATTTGTTACTCCTTTTTTGCTTTGTCTAGGCCTTGGGCTTATCGAGAAATCTATGTATCATTGATCTAAGCAAAGCCAGTGCTTACTTTTCAAGTGCCTAGTTTCTGTTGTGTGGGAACCTAGGCCTCTGTGGTGAAAGTGACTTTGATGCGAATTCTTTTATAAATGGACTACATCTGAATTCTGTTATATTACATTGAATTATTGTGTTATTTTCAATCAGGACAAGTTGAATTTAAGTTCTCTCGCTGGGGGTAAAGTATCTTCACCTCCACAGTCACCATGAAACCTTTGACCCTGAATTACAGTTGTTCACTATACGTTATTACACTTAGTATTTAGCACTCACCTTTAAGAGCTCAGGAAATACATCTTTGTAATATATGACTGGTATACTGCTGTTAATACTAATTCCACGTACATTATTATATCATTAGTATGGATTTTATCAGTTCTTCGCTTTTTTTATTAAATGAAGTGCCTCCAAGTCTGTCCTTTGAGCCTTGCTGTTGTCACTTGGAATAGAGGGAGTGCCCTGTCCTGAAAGAAAGCCTGGCTAGGCTGCTGGGGCTCCTCCTAGGAGGTCTCTCCTGCAGTAGCCCAGGTCGGGTAGAGAGGTTGTAGTTGGTAGATCGGGTTTCCTCTTCATGTCTTTCCAGTTCCCCAGTTCTCCTTTCTTTGAATTCATATTAAATTTGTCAGTGAAAAACATTAAAAAAAATTTTTTTAGCTCTTTTTATTACAGTAATCATGCACATAGTTTATCATTAAAAAAAAAAGTGTACCCCCTCTTCCCAGCATAGCGCCCCAGAGATCAGTACTCTCAACGCTTAGTGGTTCCCATTTAAAAATGAATTGTGTTCCTTCTTCTTGATTGATCCATTTCAGAAATGCGTTCTTGAGTTTCTCTCAGGGCAGGCAGTTTACTTTTCTTATATCCCTGCCTCCCCCATATTTCTTCCCCATCTCTTCCAATCTCCTAGTGTAGGTGAAAATCCATAGCTATACAGTAGTTGCCCGTTCTCTGCTGTTTTACTCCGGTGGCTTTGCTTTCTCTGGCTTCAGTTACCCACAGTGAGTCACGGTCTGGAAGCACGTGATCATCCTTATGTCATCAGGTCAGTAGTAGCCTCACGTTTCATCACAATGCCTGCATCAGTCACCTCCCTTTCACCTCATCACGTAGGCACTTTATCATCTCCTGTCATCACAAGAAGAAGGGTGAGTACAGTACAATAAGATATTAGTGGGACTACGGTCACGTAACTTATATTGCAGTATATTGTTATGATTGTTCTATTTTATTATTTATTAGTTGTTAATCTGTTACTGTGCCTAATTTATAAGTTGAGCTTTATCATATGTATATATGCATAGGGAGAAACAGTATATATTGGGTTCAGAGCTATCTGCAGTTTCAGGCATCCACTGGGGGTCTTGGAACAGGTCTCCTGGGGATAAAGGGAGGGGGGATTACTATAAATGTTGGTCACTAATGAACCCCATGGTGATCTATCATTATTTCTTCTCTACTAGTACCTTATTTTCCCCAGAATTCATAACTGCTGGATTTTAAAATGTGCTTAGTTTTTTATGTACCTATCACAAAGATTATCCAAAGGCTTTTTTTGTAAAGATTTTATTTATTTATTCATGAGACACACACAGAGAGAGAGGCAGAGACACAGGCAGAGGGAGAAGCAGGCTCCCTGCAGGGAGCCCGACGTGGGACTCGATCCCGGGACTCCAGGATTACGACCTGGGCTGAAGGCAGGCGCTAAACTGCTGAGCCACCCAGGGATCCTTAATCCAAACACTTTGAGTGCTCAAAACATAGAATGTATTAGTTCCTTTTTTATTTTTTTGACCTTTGGAGACCTTTCTTCCACAATCCTTTGTCTTCTGCTATCTGGACTGTTGCTTTCCAGGCCTGTGCATGTCTCGGCGGTCATTCTGGAACTTATTTTGTTTTTCAGTCTTAGGTTTGATTTTCTGCTGTTTATTGGATCTTATGACTTCCTCTTTCTTGATTTACTACCCCTTTTTTGCTAAAGTATATTGACCACTGAAAACTTCCTAGGAAAAGGTACATGAGAGGTAAAGATTTTGAGGCTTTACAGGTCTGAAAATGTCTCTACTCTTGATTGATTGGTAGTTTGGAGTATATGTTGAAAATAATTTTTACTGAGAAATTTATTATTTTTTAAAGATTTTATTTATTCATGAGAGACACACACACACACACACAGAGAGAGAGAGAGAGAGAGAGAGAGAGAGAGAGAGACAGGCAGAGACACAGGCAGAGGGAGAAGCAGGCTCCATGCAGGGAGCCTGATGTGGAACTCGATCCCAGGACCCCAGAATCACGCCCTGGCCGAAGGCAGGTATTAAACCGCTGAGCCACCCGGGGATCCCCTTTGAGAAATTTAAAGGCAGTGCTGCATTGTCTTTTTACATTCATTATTTTTGTGAGAATTCTGATACAATTTTTTACATAGACCTGCTTTTACACTCTGGAAACTTTTAGCAGCTCCTCCTTACCCCTGACATTTCATGATGTTTTGCGGGTCTTTATTTATTCATGTTGGTGTGTAGTTGACTTGGTGGAGTCTTGTCTACTTTCAATTTGTAGACTTGTCTACTTCAGTTCTGGGAATATTTTTGTGTTATCTTTCTGACAATTTTCTCTCCTCCATTTTCTCCATCTTATTTTTTCTAGAATTTCTGTTATTTGAATGTGGGAGCTCCAGATTGATACTCTAATTTTCAAGAATCTTTCCTCTTCGATTGCTCATTGAGTTGTATTATGTGATATCTTCCAGCTCCCTTGAAATTTTTTTAGCTAATTTATTTATTTTAGAATGAGAGAGAGAGAGAGAGAGAGAGAGAGAGAGAGTGGGGGAGGGGGAGGGCCAGCAGGAGAGGGAGAGAGAGAGAGAATCTCAAGCAGACTCCCTGGTGAATGCAAGCCTGACATGGGGCTTGATTGAGACTATGACCTGGGCCGAAATCAAGAGTCAGACACTTAACCGACTAAGCCACCCAGGCACCCCTGTATTTTAATTTCTCAGATTTTTTTTCTCTCCATTCCTTTTGTATAATATCCTGTTACATTTCAGTGGAGATCTTTTCTTTGGAGCGAGTTTCCCTGGACTCTTGGGTCAGTTGGTACTAGGGGAGAAAAAGAGGGCTGAGGACCCCACAGTTTATGTGGTGACTTTTACTTAGTATCTTACTTTCAGCCTCCCCATGCACTGTCCCACCCCACCCCAGTCTTCTGTGGTTGGTGACATTCAGGTTCAGTTTCTCTTGTGGATGGAGGTTGGGGGTGGGTCGGTTGGCTGCCTGGAGACAGGACCTGGGGGTCCTGTTGCTTTTTATACATACTTCTAGTCCTATATTCAGTCCATACTTCACCCCCTTTTCTGTAATACCTGGTACTTTCAAGTTCTGAACTTGTTAGGTGCTTGGTAGGATGTATTTATTGGCTTCTCTCTTCTGGGTAGTAAGGCTTTAACTTCCTCCACTC